TTCCTTCCAGTTATTTGGAAGTTCTTCAAATATCCATATTGGTCTACATATCAATCATCCACAGACCCATCCAGAATATTACTAATAAAGTGCCTTGCCAAGGGTCTCCCAGTTCCTAAGCAGTAGCTACCCAAGGCCCCTAATCTTTCTACCATGCCAAGCCCTTTAGAAGCCTCAGCTGTTAAAGATGCTGGCACTGCCTGGCATGCACAGGACTTTCCTCAGTGCGAAGCCAGCAGGGCAGGTTCAAGTCCCTGTGCAGATGTTTAATGAAAATGGCGAGAATTGAATGCAAGGAACATCAGCTCTAGAATGAAGTGTCCACGGGCACTAAGAAAAGCGGTAGAAAAAAACAACTCAATGTGGCCTGATTTAGTGAACCAAATCACATCAGCTTCACATTTGTATTGCACGTTTCAGTGTGCATCATGTTTTCACTTCCTGTATCTCAGTGGACCCTTGAGTTTGCCCCACTTTGTGGCCAGAGGATTCAAGCATGGAGGAGGGGCCATGAGAACTATGGGGGAGAACAGGCAGGCACTGCTGTGTACCGATAGGGGCGTTGTTTATACTGAGTGATGATGATCTCCAAACAACATAGAGATACCTGACAATCTGTGCTCCTGGACTTGCTAAGTAATGTTCATTTGGGGAATTTTCTCCCTGTTCCCTAGGGAGAATATCCCATTGAAAAAAATTACTATGAGCCGATGTGTGTCCCAGAAGTTGTAGAAAGTCTGGATGCTTTTCCTGGTGGGTGCCCTCAGCTGGAAATAACCACTCCCTCATTTATCTTACCCTGTTGTATCACTTCTCAGGCTTTTGGCTAAGATCAAGCGCAGTATCTTATCCTCTGGTTATGTGTGGACATCTCATTCCCCTTATTACACTATAAGCTCTTTGAGGGTAGATTTCTGCCTTTTATTCATTCATTCTCTTCTTCAGGTATTACTGATTTTTTTTTTTTTCTTTTCTGGTACCTGGCATCGAACTCAGGACCTTGTGCTTGTTAGGCAGGCGTGGTGCCACTGAGCTACATCCCTGGCTCCCAAGGCATTACTGATTCAATACGTAGTTGCTGCCCATACCTTATACCAGGCATCATGCCAGGTAGATGTGCATATCTAGATGAACAAAAGACATGATCCTATCTCTTCTGGAGTCTACTGGAGAGAGAGACAATAGCAAACAAATAAATATGCTGTATAATGGTAAAATACAGGAGAAGGTGGGTTTAGGCCCAGGAGAAAAGTGTTTTTAAAAAATTTTATTAGGATCAATCCAGATATATTTTAACATTAAAACTGCACTCTGACTGAACTTTGGATTTAATGTCTGCTAAGTTTTGCTCTCTGTAGTCATCTTTGTTTCCAAATGAAGCCCTTTGGGTAGAGAGGGCAGTAGGTGACTCAAGGGGAAGTTGGTTGTTGCAGGACAAAGGGGGACCGGAGTGTGTCATAGCTGGGGGACCTTGGAGACCTGGGACACATCTAGGAACTCCCCAGATGTGGGGTCTGACTCCTGCTCTGAAATAGACTAAAGGGAGCAGATACAATCCAGAAATCCCAAACACTGTGCTCCCCCCATGCCCTTTGAGGCTCTGTGCAGGTAACCTAACCAGCTCAGACCCTTGCTCCCTGCCATTGTTGCCCAAACAGCAGCAGCTTTTCACATTTTCTGTTTTCTCTCACCTCTGGAAAAACACCAGAAGCCTTGGGTCAGCTCAATTTAGGCTAAGCAGCACCTGCAGAGAGAGGGCCGGAAGTTAAGCTACAGTGGAGGAGGAAGCAGCCTGTGCTTAAACCAGGGTCCCCAGGGACCCAGCTGGATTCCCCCAGTGGGTGGTGGAGCGGGTGCCCACCAGGGAGTCTTAGAGCTGCATTCTGGGGAGGGGGGAGCCAGGAGGAGCTGGGCTCCTGCAAGGATGCTAAAGGGAAAACTCTTGAGGATTCTGGGTGCCGGTCCACACCTGTTAACAAGGGTGAGGACTGTTGGGCTTCGGGCTCATATGCATGGGAAGAGCAAACTTCTTCAAAGGGCAGAAGTCTGAGGATAACCAAAACTGTCCCAGAATTCTCTCCCCTCAGTCCTCTCCTTGCTCCTATGGTTCAAAGTCTTATTGCTGTGAAGTCTGTTAAGAGAGGTCACTGTGATGTAGTGGGATGTAGTACGGCCTTTGGAGTCAGAAGAACTGTGTGTGACTCAGGGCTGATTCTGTTAATGGCCTTGACTTTTTTTTTTTTTTTTGGTAAGACAGAGGTAAGGTTAGCTTCCCTCAGGCTTATAGAGAAGCTTCAGCAAGGTAAAGGAGCATGTAAATGAGGATGGGAGTGCTCAATAAAATTTTATTGGTGTTTCTGGGATAGTGGTACATACCTTTAATTCAAGCTACTTGAGAGGCTGAGGCAGGAGGATTGAAAGTTTCAGCTCAGCCTAAGCAATTTAGTGAGATCCTGTCTCAAAAAACAAACATACAAACAAAAAACCCAAGCCTAACAAAAAGAAACGCCCTCCAAAACAAAACAAAACATAAATGAAAAGGGCTGGGGATATAGCCAGTGTGAAAGCATTGGGTTCAATCCCCAGTACTGAAAAAAAACCTCATTGTCATTTAAGAGGTGTTCAAGAGGCCGACGATGTAACTCAGTGGCACCGCGCCTGCCTGGCAAGTGCAAGATCCTGAGTTCGATTCCTGGTACCAAAAGGAAAAAGAAATAGAATTCATAGAACTGTACACCAAAAGAAAACAAACTCAGGCCAAGTGTGGTGGCACTTGCCCTTGATCCCAAGCATTTGGGAGGCTGAGGCAGGAGGATCACGGTGAGCACAAGGCCAGCCTGAACTACATGGTGAAACCCTGTCTCAAAAAACCAAACCAAATCAAACCAAAACAAAACCACTTAACAACAGCAAAAACAAAACAAACTCAGTTTTATTATATAATTTTTTAAAAAGGCAAATGGTTCAATTCCTTTCCTTTGGATAGATTTTGGTTTTTTGAGATTTGTTTGCTATGTTGTCCAGACTGGCTTCCAGCTCCTGAGCTCAAATGATCCTCCTGTTCTGAGTGGCTGGGATTACCAGTGTGTCAGGGCTGGGGATGTAGCTCAGTGGCACTGAGCCTGCCTGGCAAGTGCAAGGTCCTGAGTTCAATCCCCAGTACTGCAACCCCCCCCCCCCAAAAACCCAAAAAACAAAAACCCAGAAACCAACCAGTGTGTGCCACCATGCCCAGTTCCAGATAGGTTTTATGATTCCTATTTTACAGATAAAGCAACTGCTATCATCACCCAGTAAGGTTTCCACTGTCTGAATCAGTTCTGGGGGCCACATGATGACACCAAAAATGTGAGCTCCTAAACAGAAACAGCTGGGAGGGCCTCTCCACTTTAACCTAGGAATCCGAATGCACACTGAGGGTGTCAGGTGGAGGCCGTAAACCTCCTGCCCAGATGATTCTCTGTTAACAAGCACTTCAAAGCCTAGGGAAACCCAGTTATTCAAAGGTGTTAGCTTTTTGGTAAAGCCAAAGCCTCCTCTGACCTAGGGAAGCCCCAAGCAGGGAGAGACCCTATTTAGAGGAGAAGTGAAGACTCCCCCACCTTGGCTGGCTGCCTGGTGGAAGTAGGGGACAAAATTAGGTCCACTATGCAAAGCAGCAGGAAAGCGAGGGCTCCAGCTCAGTGGAGGCAGATGCCAAAACAAGCCAGTTCCCTCTGCCAACCCCAGACCAGGGAAGGAACTGGGCCTGGCTGGCTCAGCCAGCCTGGCCAGAATGAGCTCCATTGAGTTTTGGGGAGATTGACCTGAAACTCTAGAGGGGATCTGTTAAAAAGTGGTGCTTCTCAGCCGGCGTGGTGGCACACACCTGTAAACCCAGCACTCTGGAAGACTGAGGTAGGAGGATCAGAAATCCAAGCCCGAGTCTGGGCAGTTTAGTAATTTATTGAGATCCTGTCTCAAAACAAAAAAATAAAAAAGGGCTGGGAGGTAGTTTAGTGTGAAGGCCTTGGGTTCAATTCCCGATTCTGGAAAACAAAAATGCTATGCTTCTCTCAACAACTTCCACATGGTTCTTCAGGTAAAATGGCAGCTCCTCCAGGGTAGGGATTTGCCTACCTAAGTCCAGAGCATGAATGGCAGAGAAATTTTTTTGAATTCCCCCCAAGATCAACAGGAAGTGGAGCACAGAGTGGCTTGGGAGGGAGGCTTTCCATAGGCAGGTTGATTGCCCTTCACTTCCCAGATGGGAGCTGTTTCCAGTTACTCCTGCAGCTGGTACCTAGGGACCATTTTGTGGGGACCCTGAGACCCTAGGGTGCCTCTGATGTGATGCTGGGAAAGTCTGAAAGGGCCACTTAAGGATTCCCCAAACTTTATCACATGAAACCTCCATTAGAAATAGTTTCTCTTGGTGGCTCTGGGTCAAGTTGAGGAGAAAAAGTTCCAGGCTTAGTGGAGGATGACATAGGAAGGGTAAGAGGTATTGTAGAGTCAGGAAACCCCTACTCTCAGGCAGCTTCTAGTCTAACTGGTGAATCAAGGCCAAGTGAATGGCCCAGGCAGCAGCCAAGGCCACAGCTGTCCAGGTTGATCTGGTTGATCTAGCTGTCCTGGTTGACCTGGCTAGGGCAGTGCCCAGGGTGCTTTGGGAGGGCTTCTCATAGGCAGAGATCTTGAAGGTCAGCAAGTTTGGGACAGGTTGGGGTGGGAAAGAGCCCTGTAGAGCAGCCAGAACTCAATTGCTGGTGTGGCTCAATGGTGCGTAAACCCTGGGGAAGGGCCGGCTGGGTCCCCTTTCTTCTGTGGCCTGGCAAGGCCCCGAGGGGGAGATGACAGGGGGATGTGACTACAGGTCCCAGCTGGAGCCCCAGAGAAAAGGAGAGGATGAGCATGGCAGTCACCCTCTTCCACAGCCTCATAGGCCCACAGATATCGCACTCAGATGCCACGCCCATCACTGTACCCCATGAGATGTCTCATGCCTGTGTGGAGGTTGTCAGACACATTGTTTATTCCATGGGGCATTGGGCTCCAGGTATGGCAGCCCCTCAGATGGAAGAGGATGGAAGAGAGGAATGAAGTTCTCCATGGCCCTTCTGGGGTCCTTGGGGAGCCATCGCCCTTCCAAGGCCTTACAGGAAGTCAGCCTGTTTTGAGTCCATTTGCAGGCTTCAGTAAGTCTCTACTTTCCTGTTCCAGATGTGGGGATCCTGTGTAGCACCCGCAGAAGACTGGCCCAGTCTATCCCAGGAGAACTCCCCATTCCAAGTCTTTGTCTGTTGTCCTGTTCTAGGCCTCTTGGTAAGAGCTGGGGGCCAATAGCTGGAGGGGGAGGTGGCTCTGGTGGGCCAGCCTCAGAGGCCAGCTGGGGGTCCAGGGTGGAGGGGACAGGCCATGAACCAGGCAACTCTGATGCAGTCAATGAGGCCCAGGAGTGGTCCTAGGGCATGGGGGGCTGGCTCCTCACTCCTGGCCTGGGTGCTCCCCGACAGACCACTTCACCTCCCCTGTCCGCAGAGTCACTATGTCCTCATAGGTGGCTGTCTGATCAATGTCCAGGCCCTGCAGACATGAAATAGAGTTCAGGACCAGGCCACACCCTGACCACACCAACAGATGCGGGGCCACTGACTGCTCAATTCAGAGCTGCCAGGTCATCCTGTTCTTACCTCATAGGTGTGATCTTCCTCCATTCCCGCTTTGCTGTCATCCTGGGGGCAGGGCATGGTGGAGATCAGAGTGTTAGCCTCCCCCAGCCCTATCCCCTGTTGGGCCAGGTGGGGAAGGCCAGGGACATGGGGCTGGGTGAGGGGATGGGAGTGAGAGGGCTTCAAGAACAACTGAAAGAATGAAGGTATGAGTGCTTGAACAGGTAAGCCAATGGGCAGGCTCTAGGGGTGGGGCTAGGCCAAACTGGGAGCTACAGGGGCTGGGGAGATGGAAACCTTGCCCATGTCTGGACTGCCCTGTGTCTACCTCCCCGGTGCCTATGGTCACCTTGTCCAGTAGCAGGAAGATGGGCACAATGATGAAAAGGATGATGAGGAGGGTCTGGATCATAATGATGCCATCTTTCAGTGTATTTCGCCGCTTCAACTGTGCCAAGGTGCTGAATCCTGAGGGAGGCAGAGGCAGGGCTTTGATACTGAGTGAGTGCTTTATTGGCAGCCCCTCACTCACCCAATGAGCTTGCAGTGGTGGCTCTTTGTAACCCCTCAGGACCTGAGGCCATAGCTACCTCCATCTATGGCTGCTCACCCCTGGTGGGAATGATGGCTACATGAACACCCCATCAACCTGGCACACACCCATGACTCGCAGCTCCGTGCCACAACCCTGGAAGATGTTGGGATGCTTCCCATCACACTCCTGCTGGCAGATGTAGATGCCATTGTCCTCAGACTGGATGCTTTGGATGGTGAGGGTGTGGGTGAAGCTATCGTTGGTCTGCAGGATGCGGTCCGTTTCTTGGAGCAGCTGCAGGGGCTCGTCTGTCTTCTGCTTGCGGAACCAGATCACCTTGCTAGAGAGGCTGGAGCTGTCTGTGTGACACTGCATTTTGACCACAGAGCCCCTTTTCTTGGCCATGAAACGGGGGTACTGCCAGATCCGGGAACAAGCACTTCCTGTGAAAACCAATGCCAGGCTCAAAATACATGCTGGAACTTTTCTGAGTGCCAGCCTTTCCTGCGGACCCCAGCGGGGGGAGAGCAGTGACTCTGGTTCAGTCTACCTTGCTTGTCCTTGCTCCTGAAAGTGTGGGACAGTCAGGTTGCAGAGGTGTGTGTATGTGTAGGAGGGGAGTCGAGCCATGTGAGGAGCCACACACCAAGCCATTGGATCCACTTCTTCCTGACTGCCCCTCTGCCCATTTGAATGTCATTTAGAAGGGTTCTGGAACCTTCTGATTTTTCTCAATGCCCTTTACAACAGCCAGATCCAGGCTTCACCCCCAGGCATGGAGGCCCACAGGACAGTCCAAGGCCTGGCCCAGTGCTTCCAGCAATTCTTCCCCTGGGTTGCCCTGCATCTGCCTGGAATCTTCAAGGGCTCCCCATTGCTCCCAGGGGATGAAGGCTGAACCCTTGGCCTACCAACTGAGACCCTCCTCCATCAGTCACTTCTTACCTCCTGTGTGGTCCTGTGCATCTTGTTCCTGGCCTCAGCTTGGGAAGCTTTCCTACCTGCCCTGCCTGGGGCTCAGTGATTGGCCTCTGGGGAATCCCTGAGCTCTGCCCTGAGGGGCTCATTCCCAAGCTGAAGCAGACTCCCCTATAGACAGACCCAGCCCCAAGGCCTCCGTGGAATCCCTTCTGGCTCCCAGCTCTGACCCCAGGTTACCCAGCACCCCAGTGCCAGGACTAGAGCGCACTGGTCTGATGAAGATGACAACTGGCTGAAGTGGGGCCTTAGAGGGAGACCCTAAGGAGGCCCCAGGATGGAAGTCCTGGATGGGGAGATGCAGGCAAGAATGGGATAAGGAGCAGTCCCCAGGATAGTGACTAGCATTGAACACAAAGTTGCCCCCAGAAGTGGTGGGGAAGGTGACTGACCTTTGGGATTCGGGTACAAGAACTCATCATTGCTTGGTGACACTGGCTCACCTGAAGAGGGAAGGAAGTGGATGGGACCAGGTCAGGCTCCTCCAGCCCCAGTTGGCTGCCCCACCCCTATTCCCTCTGCATTCCCAAACCACTTCCTCCTTCCAGGACTGTAGCTTCAAGATTCCTCAGCCCTGCCTGCTCCTGCATTGGGGAGACAGGCGCATGGTTGAGGTACCAGAAACCCCACCTCTAGCTCCCTTTCTGTCCTTGATCCTCAGGATGGCACTGAGGAGGCTTTTAAATGAGACACGAAGGAACTCGCAGCTGGGAGGGCTTCCCATCTTCCAGACAAGGAGGGAACCATTTCTGCAACAAGCATCTCCCACAGTCTTTTTGGGGCAGCCTCCCCCTGTAGTCGCTTCATGCAGTGTCTTCAGGGGCTTGGCATAAGGCACACTCAGCCCGCCTCTTCCTTCAAGACCCAGCCCTTCCACCATCACAGCTGGCACCTTGGTTTGCCCCTTGCGCTCAGCTGAGTCCAACACCCTCCAGGCAGAAGAGGGGCTGTGATTGCAGACCCTGGCCCATGGCCAAGGCGGAGATGCATAGACCTGGGCTCTGGGGTCAGTCAGAGGGAGGCAGGAAGCAGAGAATGGGCTGTAAGAGGAAGCAGAGAGAGCAGGAGTCTGAGCCGAGGACACAGAGCGAAGCCAGCAGGCCTCATACGGAGCCCTACCTGAGAGCAGCAGCACCAACACCATCAGCCAATTACCGGACACAGGACACAGCACCAGCCTGGCCATGGTCACCGCCCTAACCCTGAGCCTGTGACCAAGTCCGAGATTCTTGGGGGAAAATGTTTAACTGCTGGGCCGCCTCCTGTCCCCTCCCCACGTCTTCCCCCTCAGGCCCCTTCCTGCCATGCAAATTGGGACCCAGGGGAGGCACCAGCTCTCGGGGGACCGGGGGAGGGTGGATCTTGTCAGCCGGGCTACTATGGCTTGAAGGTGGCCCAGCTTGGGAAGGACAGATGGAGCCCTTGGTAGAAGCCTTGAACAGGGAAGTAGCCTTTATTCCCTCTCTGTGTCCTCACCCTACTGGTGCTCATCCCTGGGCCTGCCATCCTGCCCTCTGTAGTTCGCCAGCTCCTGAAGGGCAGAGCCTGAAAATGCCCATTCCTAAGCACTTAGCTAGACAGGAATGAATGAATCTGAGCTCAGTCCCTCTGGTTTGGAGCACCCTCACCCTTTGGAGGGGACAGTACAGGGGCCAGGGGTCAACAGTGAAACCAGGCCAGGGACCAGGCCAGAACAGAGCCTCTTGTCTGGAGTGCAGGTGGCCATAGTGGGAGTTGGACCTGTGGAGGAAGGGAGCCTTTGAAGTTCTTGAGCAAAAGGAGGCCAAGGTGGCAGCTACTTAGGAGGAGACATGGTTAGGCCCTTATGAGAAGCCTCTTCCTCATGCTGTGGAAGAGTTTGCTGTGGGCTGCCAAAGGGGGCACATTTGGGTAGAGGTGGATTAGAGAAGACTTGCCACTTAACAACCAGGGCCTTCTCCTGGGAGCTCTTTGGGACTCTGAGGGCACTGAAGTGTTGTCCACAGTTCCAGAGGGTCTTAGGCAGGGGCCAGGGAGTTAGTGTGGAGGAGCACTCAGGTTCTGACAGGCCTGGCTGCATCCTTCAAGTCAGCAGGGGTGAGGATGGAATCACGGCATTTGGGGCTTCATCTAAGCTTAGCTTTGTGTGCCTTCCCCAGGATCCCCTTGGGGGTGGCCCTTGTGCAGAGTGCCACCTGCACAGCTGCCTGGAGCAGGCTTGCAAACCTCAGCCCTGCAGCCAAGACCTCTGGGAGTTTTATGTCTCCTGGCAACTTCCTTCTCTCTTGTCCCCTCACTTTTTCTCATCCCCTGATCCCCAGCAGAGGAAGACAGATGCCAAATCTTCAGTGCCCTCTGTCCACATCTCAGTCCTCGTGATCCTCCATTTCTCAAATAGCCTGTGAGCCTGGCAGGTCTGCTTGGGCTCAGGGAGGTGCAAGTGCTCCCCCATGGCATGGCTGGAAGGCAGAGGGTCCAGGTGACTCCCACCTCCAACCTGGGTGTATGCTTTGAACACTGCAGACCAGGACCTGAGCCATGAAAGTTAGGGACCTGAGGACTACGTGTTCACCTAAGGGACAGCTCGTTCTAGGCAGTCCCAGGTATTCTTACTTATTTCCAGATGTTCCAAATGAAAAAAACATTTCTCTGAAAAGGTGTCAGATGTTCAGCTCATAGAACAAACAGCCCAGGAATAAGAACATCACTGAGGTCAGCATGGGGACCATGGGCCCCATCAAGTGCTGGAGGCAGTGGCTGGAGAGAGGCCAGCCCAGGGTGGAGAACAAAATCCTGGGGTCTCTCCCGTTAGCAAAGTTTGCACCCCGCTGAGCCCCTGGTGATGGAGATCTTACTTAGCTTTGAGGCTAGTGTCCCTCAATGTTGAAAGGACTTTAGGAAAGGTTTGGGTCACACACGTGTGCATGGGTGTGTGTTCACATGTATGTGCTGCCGGGACCATTGCTGTGGGGCCTGCTGAGGAGCTGGTCCTGGGGCCTAGGGTGACCGTAGGGGCACAGGGATGGGCAGGGGCAGTTGGTATCCTCCAAACTCACATGCATCATCAGCCCCCGTGGATGGGACACAGATGTGCCCTTTGGACTTCATTCCCATTCATGCCAAGCAGAGACTTGCTCTTAGGAGGGCTGAGGCAGCAGGGTGGAGTTTGGGGCCACCTGCAGAGTTATTTATCACAGATGGGGCTGTACTGTTCTCTTCCTGGTGACAACAGCAAGCCCTGTCCTGGGCTCATGATGCCCTTTCCTTCCCGGAGCAGGAGGCTTCATAAGCCTGCCCCGCCTCTGTCCTGACTGTTCTGAGCTCCACACACTGACATCTGGCATTTCCTACTTTCCAGAAAGACAGTCAAAACAAGAGATGGGAGGATGGGAAAAGGACGAGGGACTCAGGTTGGGCAAGGGACCTCAGCCATCTCAGAAAGGATGGGGGCAGGGAGAGTCTTAGGGAAGGAAGCCCCCCCCCCCATTCTCCACCCCCTGCCTGGATGGCCTGCTGAGTTCAAACCCTAACCCTAGTGTACCAACTAAAGCCTCACCAAGTCACAGTGGGTCTCAAAGTGTCCCTCATCTGGGATATTTGGAGGTAATTATGATGTCCGTAGCGAGTGCCCCTGCATTCATGGTCCAGGGCACTGAAGGCCTCCGGTGGGAGAGACTCATGAGGCAAAGCATTTCCTCACCCCACATGGCCCCACAATGGCACCAAGGTAGGCAGCACCCATTCTGAACCTCTCAGAGCCCAAATTTCCTCACCCGAGTAGCATACCAATAACCCCGCACTCTTCATGAGTGGCCATGTGCACCAAGGGCCCTTGGCAATGTGGGGGCACCATGTATCCTCAGGGAGGGGAGGAGCTCACACAGCAGGAGCGGAGGGCAAATGTGAGACTCCAGCCTATGTTGTCTACGTTTCCCACCCAGTATTTTTCCTTTTTTCTCCTGCCAGTCAAGGGTCAGGAGAAGGATGGGCTGGAGCTTCCTGCCATCTTCCGCCTCAGGGCCACAAAGGTCCCACAGGAGGTCTGGAGACACTTGAAGTGAGAATGAGCCCTGTCCCCAGAGAGGGGGCTCAGTGCCCTGGGGGCTCAGAAACCCCTGTAGGGATGCTCAACAGCCCCCCGGCATGCAAAGAGAACTGTGAGGTGGGGAGGTGCACAGGGACAACTGAGGGGCATCTTGGGGCAGCCGGTGGGCCAAGGCCTTTGTGTGCCCTACATTCCCCATGCCACAAAGGCCCCAGGACCTAGGAAAAGGGGAACAAGCATTTACTAGCCTTGAGGAACTCAGCCCCAGGAATCAGAAGTCATTACAGAAAATACAATTACTTAGCAAATTACATGTCACCCACTGGACTTGTGGGCTAAGGTTGCTACATAAGAATACTCTCTGTTGTACACAGGTCCATGTGACCCTGGACTGTCTAGGACCAGGGGTCAGGGACAGTCTTAGGGGGACAGTACTCTTCCAAGGAGACAGAAGGGATGTGAGCCCAACAGTCTCCTTGATGTCTCTGAGGGAGCAGAGAGCTGAAAGGAGCTCTTGGAGGGCAGGGGCTGGGGGCACAGCATCGCCACATGTATGTCTTGGGATCTGCCTGTTCAGAGGGACAGGAGGCTGGGACTGAGCCCACTGCATCCTGCCCCAGGGGCTGCCTCATTGTTCCCTCTTGGCAGCACAGCCCACTGGCCCTTCATCTTTCTTGGTGACCTCAGCTCTTAACCACATCCACTTGTGGAGGTGCAGAAAGGAGAAGCCCACACATCTGAGGCACCAGGGAAGGGTTTATTGTAAGAACTATACAAAGAAGCTCATCTTCCAGCCTGGCTCCAGGCTGGTTACCACCTGGATAAGGTGGGAATGGGTGTCAGTCTGCAGGGAAGAGCGCCACAGGCAGGGAGAGGCCAGGCCCTGCCCATCTGCTCTTCCTCTGCAATGGACAAAGGACATTCAATCCAACAGATTCTCAAGGCTCTGGGGGCCTCACCAGTCTGAGGCCCATGAAGGAAAGGCAGAGGGACAGGGTGCTGGGAAGGGGGAGGCTCACCCCCTATGGCAGGTACCTTTTGAAGGGAGAGGCAGAGTCATGGCAGGAAGAGATGGAAGGAGTGGAGGCCTCCTTCCATAGGCAGGAGACAGGGAGCAGGGCGAGGCCATTGGTATGATGACAAGAAACAGGAATGGGAAGAGAGAAGCTTGTGGGGAGAGAAGGAGAGGGTTACCCAGGCAAGACCTGGAGGGGCAAGAGAATAGGGCAGATAACAAGGAAGACTCTGGCCCATGGGCGTGTGTGTGTGTGTGTGTGGACACATTCACACACGTGCACACACATATCTTGTTTTGAGGGTTTTGCTGCTTCCTGAGTTTTAATCAAACTGTTCATGAGAAACAAGAAAAAAGAGAAGAGGAACTTAGGTCAGCAGGGGACTCAAAGCACAAACACCCATGTCACAATCACTCACACCCTCAGGGAACAGGTCTACTCTCTCAGACACTGGTGCAATCACATGAACAGGCTGGCACAGAACACGAACACACACACACACACACACACACACACAGCAGGTGCACTCACATGGACTTCAGGCATTCCAGGGCACACTGACACACACAGACACAAACATATCTGGTTGGAGCACAAGGAGATCGAGGGCCATCTGAAGGGGTTAAGGGAACAATTAAAAGAACTTACCAAGCAGTATGAAAAGTCTGAAAATGATCTGAAGGGCCTACAAAGTGTTGGGCAGACTGTGGGTGAAGTGCTTAAACAATTAACTGAAGAAAAATTCATTGTTAAAACTACAAATGGACCAAGATAGGTTGTGGGTTGTCATTGACAGATTGACAAAAGTAAGCTAAAGCCAGGAACAAGAGTTGCTTTGGATATGACTACATTCACTATCATGAGATATTTGTCAAAAGAGGTGGATCCATTGGTTTACAACATGTCTCATGAGGACCCTGGGAATGTTTCTTATTCTGAGATTGGAGGGCAATCAGAACAGATTCGGGAATTAAGAGAGGCACAGGAAAAACACCCTTGGCATGAGCTGTTGCTAGCCAGCTAGACTGCAATTTCTTAAAGGTTGTATCTAGTACTATTGTAGACAAGTACATTGGTGAAAGTGCTCCTTTGATTAGAGAAATGTTTAATTCTGCAAGGGACCATCAGCCGTGCATCATTTTTATGGATGAAATAGGTGCTATTGGTGGTCGTCGGTTTGCTGAGGGTGCTTCAGCTGACAGAGAGATTCAGAGAACTTTAATGGAGTTACTGAGTCCGATGGATGGATTTGACACTCTGCATAGAGTTAAAATCATCATGGCTACAAACAGACCAGATACACTGGATCCTGCATTGCTATGTCCAGGAAGATTAGATAGAAAAATACATATTGATTTACCAAATGAACAAGCAAGATTAGATATATTGAAAATCCATGCAGGTCCCATTATGAAGCATGGTGAAATAGATTCGGAAGCAGTTGTGAAACTTTTAGATAGGTTTAATGGAGCAGACCTGAGAAATGTTTGTACTGAAGCAGGTATGTTTGCAATTCGTGCTGATCATGATTTTGTAGTTCAGGAAGACTTCATGAAAGCAGTCAGAAAAGTGGCTGATTCTAAGAAGCTACAGTCGAAATTGGACTATAAACCTGTGTAATTTACTGTAAGGTTTTTGATGGCTGCATGACAGATACTGACTTAATGTAAAAATAAAGTTAAGGGCCAGGGATTTAGCTCAGTGGTTCCAGCGCCTGCCGCACAAGCACAAGGTCGCGAGTTTGAGCTCCACTACCAAAAATAAGATAAAATAAAGTTAAGAAAAATAATGTGTGTATGGCAATGAAATCATTAAAAGTGTATAAATAAAATGTATGTGAATACCATCATAAAAAAACCATACCCAGATGTACAGACTTTTGCAGACACTGCTGTACAATGGTTCAAACACACAGCACGAACTTGAACATACACAGTTACCCTCTCAGGCCTACAAGCAGACACACAGCCACACACACAGGTGACAGAACCCACAGGCCCCTCAGGAGGACTCTCACACCCCCCAGCTTGGCCTCTGTTCTCCAGCAGCCAGCAAAGACTGATGCCACCATGTCCAGATCAGCAGTTCCAGGCAGCAGGAAGTTGGAAGGTTGAGCTCAAACCAGGCGAGCCTTCTCTACTGCATGCCCCAGTGTGAGTACGTCACGTGAGCTCCACTATAACATTCTCAGGGTCACTTTAAAGAAAGCGAAAAGGATGCACAGGGACAAAGAGATAGGCAAGGGAAAATATGAGAAGGGAGAGATCTCTGAGGGCAGATGAGGCTACTGGTGGTTTAATGAAGGCAAGAGGAGAGAAGAAAGGGAAGGAACAGGATCTTTTCATTCAGCATCCCTGCTCCCACCCAGGTCTGGATACTCAGGCTGAGGGCAGCCATGCAGCTGGCAGGACTCGTACTTCCCATCCATGCTTCATCAAAAAGGTAACTTCCAGTGGACTCCTTCCTTCTGTTCCTCTGCTAGGGATCAGTCAGGGGAGCTAACTATCATCCTGGACGTGGCCCAGGAAAAGCTTTCAGGAATCAACCCCAGCCCAGTGCATCAAGATCCAGTGGCCAATCAAGTTTGTGGAGTTATTTCTGGATCAGTAACATTTTCCTTTTCCAGAGAATTCCCGGGCTGGTAGGGGAAGCAGCACCCCAGAGTGGGAGGGGGAGAGCTGGCTGAGTCCTGAGCTCAGGTATCTGCACTCACTGAGGTGAAGATATCTGGCCTGGAACTGGGGGCCTGTGGGCCACTTGCTGGGGAGAGGCTAGTAACCCTTAAGACTCTGGGGACAGGAGGGCAGCCAGTCCCCCCATTGTAGGCTGGCTCAATCCCATGAAGGGGGCAGAGTTCCTGACGTTCTGACCTCCCTCAGGCCAAAAGGAGGGGCAGCAGAACTCATGAGGAGGTAAGAGCAACTTGAAAATGAAATCACAGAGGCAGGGGCTTCAGCCCAGCTTGGGTCCCTGAGTTCGATTCCCATTTCTCAAGGCCTGGGTGTCAGACCCACCATGGCCAAGTCCTGTCCCCGACAAAGGAGCTGGATGCAGTCCCAGACTCAAAGGCCCGCTCCCTCACTCAGTGTGCAGGCACTGTGCTGAGGCTCAACTAGCCATCTTGTAATCTGCCTGCTACACAAGAGACTCTTTGACCCCTGGGCGCACTGTCTGCCCTGGTGATGGGGAGGGAGGCAGGGTAGCGTCTGAGGGGCTGATGGGCGTGAGCCCTATGGCAGATCCGGTGTCCCCCGTGGAGCCCTCCTTCTGCCCCTGGACCTGTACACTGGTCTTCCCGTTCTCCGGGCCATACATCTGGCTCATGGCATTGGCGATCAGCCCCTCCTTCTCAGGGGCCCCGTCCCCACTGCCGTCCTGGCTGTGGCGGTACATGTAGGATGCCTGCTTTACAGAGCGCTGCAGCAGGTGCCGGCGGTAGGCCCTCTGGATCTTGATGGCACACACCTCCTCGTGTTTCCTTTTCAGGGTGGTGGTGATGGGCTCATAGGAGACCTTAGAGGGGTTGGCAGCCATGAACTTCTCCTCCATGGTCTGCTTGAGGGCATCCATCTCCCCAGAGTCACCCAGCACCTCTTTAGTCAGGGCAAAGAGGATGTCCAGACAGTGGATCTTGTCCCCTGGCACCATGGGCAGGTCCAGAGTGATGAGTTTGATTTTGTTGGGCTTGGCGATCTTCAGTGGCTCCTGCAGGGTGTCCACAAAGTCAGAGAGGCGGCTGTATTCAATGAACTGTGTGGCATCAGGGTCGAATTTCTCCCATGTTTCATAGAACATCTCAAAGTCATCCTCACCAAGGGGCTCACTGCTCTCCTCAGTTGCCACATTGAAGTTCTCCAGGATAATGGCAATGTACATGTTGACCACAATGAGGAAGGAGATGATGATGTAGCTGCAGAAGAAGCAGATACCAATGGATGGGTTACCGCAGTTGCCCTTGATATGGGTACCAGGGTTCTCTAGTGTGGGGTCACAATCTGGGGGCCCACTGTTGAGGATGGGGTTCAGAAGCCCATCCCAGCCAGCTGATGTGGTGATCTCAAAGAGGCAGATGATACTGTTGCCAAAGGTCTCAAAGTTGAACATGTCATCAATGCCCGATTCTTTCTTCACATAGGCAAAGTTGGACATGCCGAAGATGGAATAGATAAACATGACCAGGAAGAGGAGGAGGCCGATGTTGAAGAGGGCGGGCAGTGACATCATGAGGGCGAAGAGCAGCGTCCGGATGCCCTTGGCCCCACGGATCAGCCGCAGGACACGCCCGATCCGTGCCAAGCGGATCACACGGAACAGTGTGGGTGACACGAAGTATTTCTGGATCAGCTCAGAGAGTGCAAGGCCTGCAGAGAGGAGCAGGAGCTGGGTCAGAGAGCAGGGACATGGGGCTCAGGGGTCTGGCTCCTGTGCTCTGCCCCACAGAGGAGCAGATGGGCTTAACCCTCTTAGCACAGCCCCGACCATTCAGGCTGGGCTCCCCGATGGGGCCTTCTTTGCCCCAGTGGAGCTGGAGATGGGATATGGCAAAGGTGACAGAGTGAAGACTCCTTGTAGATGTCACAGATGAGATGGACTGGTATGGGCAGGACAGCTATGTGACTCGAGGTATGGCTCTTGTTTGCAACTCAGTTTCCTCCTCTGTGAAATGGGAATGATAATAATACCTGCCTCACAGCGTTGCTGTAAATGAGTAAAGTAATACCTGTAAAGTGCATAGCACAGTGCCAGGCATATAGTAAATGCTCAGCAAAGGGTGGCTAGTTACTCATATGGTGATATGTTTGTCCATACACTTTTCAGGGATATGGAGACAGTGGGACTGTCTTAAGTTTTCCCTGGGGCACTCAAGTGTACATCTGCTGGTCAGGCCCCTGTCTGCCCATCTTTCGTTTTTGGTGCTACTGGGGAGTGAAACTGGGGCATGAACCCAGGGTATGAACCCAGCCTTTAAACATTTTTTATTTTTAGTTTTGAGATAGGATCTCACTAAGTCACTAAGTTGATTCTTCTGAGTACTGGGATTACAGGCATGTGCTACCACACCTGGCTGGGTTCATGTCTGTCTGTCTTTCTCTCTCTCTTTCTTCCTTCCTTTCTTCCTTCCTTCCTTACCCCCCCTCTCCCTCTCCTCTCTCTCTCTCTCTCCCTCTCTCTTTCTTTTGGTACCAGGGATCAAACTCAGGACCTTGCACTTGCAAGGCAAATGCAGCACCACTGAGCTAAATCCCTGGCCCAGTCCATGTATTTCTTGAGGTGTGTTCGTGTGTGCACAGGTGACAGGATGCCTATGTGCATTAAGAGTGATTGGCTGTTATACGCATGTGTGTGCGTGTGCTAGGTTTATGAGCAGGTGTGTGTGCATTCAGAAAGCCTTCCTGAATGACTCACATAGGCACTGCCCTGCCAGCTTACCCACAATGGACAGGATGACAACCACAAAGTCAAAGATGTTCCAGCCAATGGTGAAATAGTACTGGCGCAGGGCAAACATCTTGAGCACACACTCCCCCGTGAAGATGATGATGAAGATCATGTTGATGTTGTACAGGATGTCCACCTTGAGCTGGCTCTGGTCATCCGTCTCCACCATCATGGTGACCATGTTGAGGCAGATGAGGATCATGATGGTGATGTCAAATACCTGTTTTGTCACGAAGTCATACACCAAGCCTTGGATCTTGTTCTACAGCACATGAGTGGACATGGGGTGGAGGACAGGGTCAGGGCCAGGACAGGAAGGGTGCAGGCAGGAAACACAGGATGACGGAGAGGACATGGACAGAGAGGTGTCAGGGGTGGTGGTGAGATCAGCCATGAGAGGGGAGGCCCTGGGACCTCATCATCCTGTGGTCCGTGGAAATCCCTCCTCACTTTGGGACCCTCCCTAGCTTCAAGCTCCCCCAGTCACTGCTCACCTTTCTCCCAAAGTCATTTCTTATTGGGCAGAGTTTCTGGACATCTTCCTCCCCCATAGGCCACTGAGGGCCCCAAGAGAGGAGGTGGGTGGACACCAGTGGGGTGTACAGGGCCAGATGAGGGGTAAACAAGTGACCTGAGTCTAGTGGCAGCTGCTGGGTGTGCACAAATGTGAACCCTGCCTGCCTGGTCAGCAGAGTGCAGGCTGCATTTCACCCTCATCAGCCCCCAGGGCAGCAGCCTGGTGCAGGCTACAGGAGCAGCAGGAGCAGGGGCCAAGGTACCTGGGGCCGTGGAATCGGCTTCTGGGGCTTCTTGGAGCCAAGCTTCTTCATGGCATTGTAGTATTTCTTCTGTTCCTCTGTCATGAAGATGTCTTTCCCTCCGAAGTACAGTGGGATGGGGCTCATAAGCCTGAGTGGGGCCCCTTCTGTCTCTAGGGCTCCTCTACCTCAGGCACCACTCTTAAAGCATCCCCCACCCCTGCAGAAATGCCTAGTAGGAAGGAGGAGGGGACTGGGAGGGATTAAGGGTCCAGAAGGGAGGGGTAGGGGTGACAGACAGAGGGAAGGGACCGATGCTGCCTGGAAGCCTGTGTTGGGACAATTTCCAGCAGTGTCTCACTGAGTCCTTAGAATAACTCAGCAAGCTAGGTTGTAGCAATGTCACTTTATAGATTAGGGAAATGATGTCACCATTCAAGGTTCCCTGGTGGGATCTGGAACCAGGCTAGCTGTGGGGCATGCTGCCAGCAACAGCACAGGGCTGTCAGGCAGCTGGTGACCACAGGAAGGAATGAGTGGATGGGGGGAGGGGAAGCAGGAGACAGGGCAGTGCGGGGGCAGATACTCATCTTCTTCTTCTGCTGGTTGAAGTTGTCGATGATGACACCGATGAAGAGGTTGAGCGTGAAGAAGGACCCAAAGATGATGAAGATGACAAAGTACAGATACATGTAGAGGTTCACCTCGTACTGCGGCTGGTCCGCCTGCTGTAGGGGCCATGGGATGGGACAAGGTGAGATGCATACACAAGTTTCTCCCTGCTCCCCAAAGTACTGTGGGCAGGGGCCACTCTCCCCCAGGCTGCTAGGGCTCCCAAGGAGATGGCGTGGTGGGGTAGGGAATGTGCTGCTATGGCACTGTCCCTCCCTGGCTCACTCACCAGCCACGTCTCAGTGACCTGACTCACCTCCCGGGAGTCCACTGCTGCATACATGATATCCATCCAACCCTTGAAGGTGGCCTAGGAGAAGAGGTGAAATTGATCCACAAATTTCCCTTCCCTCCCCAGCAGGGCTCCTCCTTGGGGCCCCATTCCAGAACCCCCTAACAGACGAGAGAGATCTGGACACTACCTCAGCGTCCCACAGCATTGGAAGAAAGGTAGGTGGCCCCCTAACAAGGAGTGATAGTGGTTTCCAGTACAATGATAGACCGGAAGGCACCGCTGTCCTAGTCCTGGGCATGGGCAGTGGGTGACACTCACCACCTGGAGGAGGGAGAGGTAGCCTAGACCCACGTTGTCATAGTTGACCTTGACGTTGAGCCAGCGGACCTGGCCTGTGTGCATGAGGCTCTCACACTCGGACTTGTTGTTGACCTCAGAGATATCGAACCTCTCAGAGGTGGTAGTGTTGATGCAGTGGTAGAACTTCCCAGCAAACAAGTTGACGCCCATTATGCTGAAGATGAGCCAGAAGATGAGGCAGACAAGCAGCACATTCATGATGGAGGGGATGGCTCCCAGGAGGGCATTCACCACCACCTGAGGGCCAGCGGCTGGTCACTGCTACGGCCCCCTGAGAGAGGACTCCTCAGATGCACACCAAGCAGAGGACCTCAGGAAGGGCCTCTTGGAGGATGGCCGCTCTGAGCAAGGCCTAGTGGGGAGAAGCTGTCTGCTGGGAGAGGGGTGGAAGAGGGGTGGGGATGACAAGGGCTAGGGATGGGGCACAGCTGGCCTGGTGGTTGGGCAGCGAGGCTTCTCTGCTTGGCTGGAGCCATCAGGCCAGAGTGGGGGCACTGAGCTTCTCTGGAAGCAGCCTTGTCATGGGCCACCAGGCAGGAGACAAACACTCTTTCCTCAGCCCCCATAGGAAACTCAGCCCATGTGACCTGGTCCCTGCTCATTGGCTCACATAATTAGTGACACACACATCGAAAAGGGACAGAGAAGAGGCCACCAGGGTCTTTGAAACAGCATGATTCCAGCACTAAACCCCAGCTGCCCATGAGCCCTGGTCACACAGGCTCATCAAACTGTTTCAGTCTGGGCTGAGTCTGAGAATTGTCTTTTTTTGAGGACCTGTTCCATGACCTTCAGACAGTGGATGGCAGAAGCCCATGGTGCCCAGGGGAGCTCTGTTTCTCCCTGGGCTACCGCCCAGCTGTGTAGTCACGGGCAGGTTATTTCCCCTTAGTAGGGAGGGGTTCCCAACCCAGGGTGTGGGCAGGCCCAGGCCTGAAGTGGCCTCTTGCATGAGCAGCAGGGAGCCACTGGGGTGAGCCTGCCTCTGGCCTGCAACCAGTCCATTCACAAGGTCCCCATGGAGCAAGTCTTGTTCCTTCCCTTCACTGGGGGAAGTTCCATTCATCTTGCCCAGACCATGTTTACCTGTCACTTCCCCTCTCAAGGGCCTGAGGGGATCTTCTCTACACTGACCTCAAGCTCAAGGGTATGACTCTACTCAGGCCCAAGGAGGCCAGGCTGAGAGGCACCTTCACACCTCATATTTCAGTCCTCCTGGGGGAGGCAATGTGAGGTAAGGGGAGGGAGAGACACCTATGAATCCACAGGCCTGCCGGCCTTCATACTCTTCTCCCTGCCACAAGCCCTTCTGGGCACTGCAGCAGCCTCTGCTGCCCCCAGTGGTGGTAAGAGGGGCTGAAGGAGGGGATGGGGTAGGCCAGGCCTCCATAAGCAGGTCGAGCCCTGATGGTAGCTAGAATACAGACACAGGCCTCTCCACCTTGCCCTGTGGGTGGCTGCTTCCAATCAGTAGCCCTCTTCGGGGGCCCTCTTAGTACCCACCCTCATGCCCTCGAATCGAGACAGTGCCCTCAGGGGACGAAGGGCCCGAAGTGTTCTCAGGGATTTGATGGGTCCCAGCTCTGAGTAGCCCAGCCAGTTTGCTACCAGGCTGATGATGGAGACCTGGAAAAGAGGAATGGGTGTGGTCAGGGAGCCCAGGACCCTTGGATTCCCCCAAGCCAGTGCAACAGCCCCTAGAAAGAGATCTCTCCTTGAGGGGGCGTCTTCCCGAGCTCACAGCTCAGTGGACCCTCTCCCTAGTGGGTGGTCCTGACTGGTGGGAAGAGCAGCCCTGGACCTGTCTCAGAACCTCTGGAGCCTGGCTACGTCCTCAGTGATATCACCAGGTGACTGGGGATGACAATAAATAAGAGAGATAATACCCATCTCCTTCATGGGCCTGTATGCCCATCAAAGGGGGTATGGAAATCCTCTCCAGAAACTGGCAGGGATCATATGGTCCCAGGATCATATGGTCCCAGGCCTGACTGACCCTTAGGAGAAATGTGGTCTCTTATTCCTCCTCACTGGAAGCTAGTCTGCCGGGAAGAGTGCTGCTCTGGGGGTTTGACTCGGGGTGTGCCTGTGGGTAGGCCCTGACTCCCAAGGCCTGAGCTCCTGAAAGTCCACAGTCACAACGGCCTCGGAATCTGGCTGAGGGGTCCAGACTGGCAAACTCACATCTACGATGAGGAAGTCGAGCCAGCACCAGGCGTTGGTGAAGTACACTTTGAAGCCATATGCCACCCATTTGAGCAGCATCTCCATGATGAAAATGTAAGTGAAGATCTTGTCAGCGTATTCTAGGATGGTGCGGATGACTGGCCGCTGCTCGATATAGATATCTTCAAAGGCCTGGGGGACACCAGCATAAGCTGAGGGTGGCCAGGGGACCAGAGGCGGGGGCAGCAGCCATATCCCATATCCTGTCCCATATCCTCCCAGGGGTCTGCTGTGGGAGCCAGGCCAGGGGCAGCTGTGGACATGTCCCAGTCCCTTCCCCATCATGGAGAGGAGCGAACTGCCCAGTGGGGAGGAGTTTCTTGGTTCCCAATCATCTGCTGGGAGTTCGGCAGTGATGCATCTCAGCCTTCCCTTGGCCTTCCCCCAAAATTCCCAGGGCCCACCTACCTCCCCAGTAACCAGAAGTTCACAGTCAGAGCCCACAGAACAAGAGGGACCTATCTGGCACCTTGAGAAGCATATGCATTCTAAAATATATCCTGGAGGCACAGGTGAGTCCTTTTCAGAACTCTCTGAGTTTGGGACTTTCCAGGCCATGTCCATCCCTGGGAGGGATCCCTCAGAGGGACTCCTTGTAGCTTGGCACCTGCATCTGTCCCTGCCCGTCCCCTGGGGTGGTGCCTACCAGGGCCCCACTGCTAAGCAGGATCATGAAGACAATGAAGGTCTCGAACCAGTTGTGCTCAACAATCTTGAAGCAGGCCCTGCGAAGAGTCCACCACATCTTCCCACGGTCCTGAGAGATGTCCACATAGAGGCAGGGGAAGCGCTGCACACAGGCTGGGGGACAGGTCCAGCACCGTGTCATGTGGCTGCCCCTCTACAGCCTCCACCTCACTGCTCCCCAGACCCAGGGCCCTTTCTTCCCACACCTGGCTCCATCTGGCTCATGTGGGGGTCAGGTCCTCCCTCCATAGCCCACTCTACCTATGTGTCAATGCGGCCAGGGAAGGACACAGAGGAAAGGTGCTCTGCGAAAGGAGGTTCAGGCCAGCTGTTCCCCATCCCCACCTTGCCCAGGCAGGTCACTCAGCTCAGCCCAGGCCTTTTGGACAAAGATGTTTCGCCAGGGCTGTCTTCTGAGGCCTGAGGCTCAGGAGGTGGCTCACCCAGGGTGAGGCAGGGAGGGCAGCACCAGGGAGGAAGGCCTGCTGTTTTTGCACGGCCTTCTCTAGCCCTGGGACAGCCTGTCTCTTACAGGGACACTGGGCTGGGGGAGGTACCCAGGCTGAGTAAGGGTGCTGCCCCTGGGGAAAGTCCTTACGTTCTGTGAAGCACTCCTCAGGCTGCTCTCCCTCGGGGTTCTCCTCAGCCTGCTCCTCGGGGTCCTCCTCTGGGGGCTTGTAGTCAGCTGTGCTGCAGACGGAGGAGTTCCCATCGTAGAGGGGCTGCGGCAGTTTCTGCAGGGCCACAGGGGCATGTGACCCCTGGGCCCCAAGAGATCCCCTCATCCTCCCACCAGGCGGGGCAGGATGGGAGACCAGAGGGAAAGGAGAAAAGGAGTGGAGGAGGTGCATCCATTCATTCAAGCACTCAGCTCAGGGTAACTGAACCAGCACTGTGCCCCATGCAGAAGAACCACAGGGACAAAGGTGGCTGCTGTCTTGCCTGATGGCATCTGAGGTCTGGGAAGGAGCAATGAGGGCATAAGGAGACAGGAGACAGGTGAGGGCCTCAGGTAAGGGAGGAGGCTGACCGGAATCAAGGGGGAAGTGGCTGGACGGGGCTCAGCAGGCTGGGGGATCTGGAGAAGCAGGGGAGCATGAAGGGAGCCAGCAGAGGAAAAAGAGCCCAGAAAGGACTTTTGAGGATATAGAGGTAAGAAAAGGAGTCATGCCAAGGATCAGTGGAACAGATTAGAAGATGCAGAAACAACTCCAGACACACTCAGCCACCTCATCTTTGACAAAGGAGCCAACCATCCTCACTGGAGGAAAGATAGCCTATTTAATAAATGGTGCTGAAAAAACTGGATTTCAGTTTGCCAAAAATTAAAACTAGATCCCTATCTTTCACCATGCACTAAACTAAAATCCAAGTGGATTAAAGATAAGATCTAAATACTAAAACAGAAACACTAAACTTGCTGGAAAATAAGTTAGGTAGAACTCTCAAAGACATTGGCATAGAAAAGGACTTTATAAACAAATCCTCAGTAGCATGAGAACTAGCACAAAGAATCAACAACTGGGTTCTCATCTTATTAAAATGCTTTTGCACTACAGAGAAACCACCAACAGAGCTAAGAGACAACCTACAACGTGGGAAAAAAATTTTCTACCAGCTGTTCCTCAGACAAAGGTCTGCTATCCAGAATATATAAAGAACTAAAAAAAAATCAGAGCCCCCAAATATAAAGACCCAATTCAAAAATGGACATCTGAAATGAACAGACATTTCTCAGACAAAGAAGTAAAAGCAGCAAATAAACACATGAAAAAATGTTCAACATCACTGGTCATTCGAGAGAGATGTAGATGAAAACAATGCTGAGATTGTACCTCACCCCAGAAAGAATGGCTGCTATCAAGAAATCAACTAATAACAAATGCTGGCGGGGGTTCGGGGAAAGAGGAACCCTTCTCCATTGTTGGTGTAACCACTGTGGAAATCAGTGTGGAGACACCTCAAAGAACTAGGGCTAGAGGTCCCATTTGACCCAGCTATTCCCCTGCTGGGTATCTTCCCCAAAGAATTAAAAGAATCATACCACAGCGATATATGTGCACCCATGTTCATAGCGGCACAATTTTTTTTTCCATAGCGGCACAGTTTGTAATAGCTAAAACTTGGAAACAGCCCAATTGCCCATCAACTTGAGACTGGATAAAGATGTTGGGGTTTTTTAAAAAAAATAAAATCGAGTACTACTCAGCCATAAAGAATGAGAAATTAGAGACATTTATAGGTAAATGGATGCACATTGAGGCCCATACTCAAGTGAAATAAATAGGACAGACATGTGTAAATACTGAATAGTTTCTCTGGTGTGAAAAACTAAAAGTGTAAATAAGAATCAAAATGTATAATTGATGTTGTGAAACAGGAAGAAAAAGTCTAAAGGAGTAGGGGAAGTGGGAGGGGTAGGGGAAAGGAAAGAAGGGAAAGGAAAAAATATGAGAAAAGGAAAAAATGGAAACAAAGTCTTTGTAAGTAGGGAAGGGTGGAGGGTTTGAAGGGAGGGCAGAGGAATGGGGAAAAAATAAGAACCAAGATACATCATGTAAAGGTACAAGATCCCAATGATGACTGTAACCATATTGTGTACCTAAAATGTACCAATAAACTTAATGGAAAAAAAGAAAAGAAAAGGGGCCATGATGGAGCTGGGCACCATAGCCCACACAAAACAGGCCAGCAGTGCCCCCAGAATCCCAGCCTTCCTACCCCAGGATCTGTTTGGCTGAAGGATCCAAAAAGGATGGAAAATTTTCCCCAGCTAAGGCACCAGTTGGGTGCTGTAGGAACCTGATCAGCGTGGGGGTGGGGATGGGGCTGTTGCTCTGTCCTGGCCAGGCCTCCTCCCACCTCCTCCTGGCATCGTCCTAGGCCAGCTTCCCAGACCCGGCCTTCAGTCTGCAACTGGGCCCTGGATTGCTGTGGGTGAGGCCCCTGAAGAGCAAGGTGGACTGGGCAGCTTGGTGGTGGTTGGGTTGTGGTGGGGACAGCCTGGCAGCCACAGCAGTGACCAGAAAACCAAGGATGGATGATGATTCTCGTTCCCAGTTGACAGAAAGGGAAACTGAGACCGAGTGTTACGTCAGCCATGATATCAACTGAGCTGCCTGCCTCACTTGTGCACCTCAACTCCCATAATTCCCCTTGGTGCTCTGCCTATCCCCGCTTCAGAGTTCCCAGGCCCACTCCTTTCCCAGAGCCTTGGACCTAGTGCTCTTAGCCCCTCCTCCATCAAGTTCTTCATACCGAGGTCCAGGACTGGTGCCACATTTCCTGGGCTATTTATAGCTCAGTAGGCGCTTGGTCCCCTGATAAGTCATCGTGCCACATATTTGGGGAGAATAAGGAGTCAGGACAAAGGTCATTAGGCTCCAGTGCCCAGCCAGGCTCAGGGCTGGTGGTATGGGGCCAGCAGAGCCCCTGGCCTCCCTTGTGTGCTAGTCTTACCCTGACAAGGCTACAGAGTGGGTAAGGGGGCCTCAGTGTCCGTGCCCCTGGGAGGCCCAGGCAGGGTCTCAGCCTCATCTCTGACCTCTGGGGTGACTGCCACCTACGTTTTAGTCCCCTTCTCATTCTTGCAAGAGAGGGGCAGAGGAGGGGGAGCTGGGCCTAGCAGCAAGGCCCTTGTGTGGCCTGGGTGGGCCCAGGTTCCCATCCTGAAGCTACGTCACAGCTCTCAGTTGTCTTTGTCCCCAACTTCCATTGGTCTTGTAACTCCTCTCCTCGGAGCTTCTGGCCTGGACCTGACACCTTGGAAGATTGAGACCAGCCCCAGGTGGTGTGTAAGCAGAAACAGATGATTGTGGCAAGGACTTGTTAGAGCCTTCAAACTCAGAGGGGGATTTAAGAGAGGCTTCTTGGGTCCCAATCCTAGACCTGAGGTGCCATGGCTAAAGCATCCTGTCCAAGAGCACCACCTGCTGGTAAGAAGGTCCAGATAGTATTTTGCCTGGCTGATCCTAATCATGCTAAGTTACATTACAGAACTCTTCCTATGGGCTTTGCGCACAGCATGTCACATAATGCTCACATCAAAGCCTACATCATCGTGCTCATTTTACAGATGAAGAAACTGAGGGTCAAAGAGGATTTGTGACTCGGCAGAAGTCACATAAAAATTTGAAGCCAGGTTTATCCGGCCCCCAGCCCCTCCAGCCAGACTCTGGATGGGCTCACCTTGACATCCTCGGGCTCAGAGAATGTGTCAGTTTCCTCCTCAGTTGGCATCTCTAGGTCGGACTCCTCGGAGGCGATGGGCACCTGGATGGTCAGGTAGGGGTTGTTGATGAAATTGAGGTGGTCCAGCTCAATGCTGGAGGGAGGGCCGTGAGGCAGGCCCACATGGTTCAGGATGTGATTGTCCTTCAGGTCCTTGTCCTCTTCCTCAGGGGGGGGTTCCTTCTTTTTGTCCTTGGGGGCACTGTCCCCAACCTCTCCAGCCTCCCCGGAACCCCCGGGCTCCCCAAGGGTGAGCATTATCTCCTTGGGCGTCAGGATTTTGCCATGCAGCAGCCCCAAGAGGAAGGCCTTAGCAAAGCCGATGCCCCACTTGATGCGCCCGATGGCAATCTGCAGGTTGTTCATCTCGCCATCCTCATCTGAGGCTGCCAGGCTGTCGGCACTGAAGGAGCTCAGCAGGAGGGCCAGGAACAAGTTCAGGACCTGCAAGCAAGGCCAGGGAGAGTCTCAGGCCAACCTCCTGGTCTCTGGGGTAACATCCTCAGCCAGCCCGTGGGCTTTAGACAAAGTGACACCGCCTAATGGGATGCCTGAGTGTGACTGCTCTCAGAGGGGAGCATTGTTATTATCCCACTTTGCAGACACGGGAACTGAGGCTTCGGCTGATGACAGAACTCAGCAGCCCAAGGCAGTGGTAGGCTTTGGGGAGGCACACTGGGTGACAAGGAGTCTTTCTGCGGCTCTGTCCCCTAACTCCACTGTCAGGGGATGCAGAACAAAGAACAGGGTTCAAGTCTCCCAGCCTCTAGAATTTATTCGGAGCCTTAATCTTTGAGCCTTTTCCTTTCATCTGTTAAGTGGGACTCTTAATAGATCTTGTGCTCCCCTGTGTTCAGCTTCTGTCCAAATAGCAGCTGTCCGTTTTTCTCCCCTTGGGGGTCCTTATCCCACTTACTCCTGGTTACCTTCTCCTATCTCTACTTACAGGGACCAACAAGGCTACTAGTCAGTCTCCCTTCACCCTCTTCCCACACTTTATTTTCCAATGGACACACAATTACTGAACCCCTGCCACTGTTGGTGAACAAGTGGCCTCAGGAGCCCACAGGTTAGAGAGACAGATGTGTGCTTACATAAGTACAATGCTGAGGGTTTACATGGCAACAGAGAACAGGATGCACAGGTTTGGCTCCGAACCCCAGTTTACTAGTTGTGTGTTCTGAGCCAAATTGCTTCACTGCTCTGTGCCTCAGTTTCCTCATCTGTAAAATGGGGATGATTTCAGTACTCCTCATTTTGTTGTGACAATTAAAAGATCAATCCAAGGACAGCTGTTCAGAACAGGTTGGTTGGTATTATGTGTGCAATAGAAAACTATACATGGTACAGTGAAGAGCAAGATGAACTCACATTTCATAGATGAGGAAATTGAGTCCCAGAAAGGTAGAGTGACTTGCTCTGGGACAGACAGCATAGTCAGAACCATAACCCAGGCTTCTAGCATTGAACATGTTCAGAGGGCACACTTTGCTTTACACTACGATATGAAAGCTGTTCCCAGAGGCCAGCGGTGTGGTAGTCCCTCCTTCCACCCGCCCACACGTCCCTGGGGGAGTGGCAGAAAGGCAAAGCTGGTTGGGGTGGGGGATCCTGGCCCCTGCCAGCCAGAGGAGCAGCCTGGTCCTTACTTTAGGCCCGGGGGTGGTAACCAGAGGTAACCACCTCTGTGAGTGGGCATGAGGAACCAGGGAACCTGCATGTGTGAGGCTATGCCCTTGACCCTCCTTTCCATGTGCCTCACTCTCTGGCTACCAGTGTCCTTCAAAGTCACTTTGTCATTGTCTTAACTATCACGTTAATACAGTTAATATCATATTAAAATAATATATTAGAACCCTCTTTGAGAGAATGTGCTGGGGGGAATTTCAGAACCACACCATGTCCTCTAGCTCCCTTTCTGCCTTGGCCCCCACCCACATTTATTGGTCTTCCTTCTCCCTCTTTCGGGCGGGGGGAGGCATCCAGTTGCCAGAAACACATCTGAGATGGGAATTAGCTGCTCTCTGGGTCAGCAGGGTTTGCACACGGCTCCTGCCTGGGCCAGAAATAGCCTCCTTGGGCAAAGGGGTGGGGGCAAAGGATAGGAGGGAGATGGAGGTTGTGTTCCCCTGGGGGCTCTCTGGGGGGGTTGCCTAGGATCCAATCACTTCCTCTTCTTTCCCATAACCCCGATGAAGTGACCAAGTACCGTGGATGCAGGGGGCACAGGTCCCCACACTCCTTGGAAGGGTGCCTGGTGCCCGCAGGCAGACACCTGCTTCTCTGAAGCCTGAGGAGGAGGATGGGAGGGGCAGTGCCCAAGGAGCTGATGGTGCTGCCTCCCTGGGCCACTCCACTCCTTCTGAGCAAACTGGAAAAGCCACAGAGTTGGGCTGGAAAGAATGCCAATGTGTGTGTGTGTGTGTCTGTGTGTGTGTGTGTCTGTGTGTGTCTGTGTGTGTATGGGAAATAGGCAATGTGCCACAAGGGTTGCAGACTCTGGAGCCAGATCCTAAGGTCTCAAATCCTGAACTCGTCACTAATTTACCTCCCCGGGCCTCTGCTTCCTTGGGTATGAAACAAACAAAGCAGCACAACCCCCACGCATGGGTGGTAAGGACCGAGTGAGCAAACACAGGCAACACACTAGGTGCCCAGCACCACCAGCATCATTGCTGGTGTTGAGGCGATCGGTATTATGATTGCTGCTCTCAGTGGTGGCATGGTTACTGGAGTCACAGACCCAGGCTCTAGCCAGCCACGTGGCTCTGGCAGTGCCTCCTTCAGGCTGTGGAAACAGCATTACCTGCCTCATAGGGTTGCTGGGAGGATTAAGGATAATACACCAAAAGCCCTGGGCACAGGGACTGGCACACAGCAGGAGGCCAAGGCTGACATAGGAGCATTTTGCCCATGGTCAGTGCCCATTGTCTCCCTCCTCCACCTCTGCCAAGGGTATCTCATCAATCTTAGGGACTACCAACTTTATTACAACAATTTTAAACACAAAACACTTGGCTGGAATATCTCCCCTCCGCTGGCCTCATGTGCCAAGTGCTTTGCTAAGCACTGAGATGTGCACTACATAACCCTCCTGACCACCCACTGTCAGCATCCCAACAATTAGCATCCCCATTTTCCAGATGAGAAAACCAAGACCCAAAGGGGCTAAACTTCTTGCTCAAGTTTCCCCAGTCAGCAAGTGGCAGAAACATTTCTGAGTCTCCACTCATAGAGACAGAATCCCGCTCTAGATTCTTGCGGCCACTTGCAAACTTCTACCTGCAAACTTCTGCGGAGGGCTGTGTCCCTCCCCAGTCCTGCCTCGAAGTTCAGCCTGAGCACCTTCCCGTCTCTCTCCACTCCCTCAGGTGGCACTGTCTCAGGGACAGTGAGCCTGGGCTCTCCTCTCTAGCTGTCCCACGGTCTCCTCCTTCAATGGAGGTGACACCCCCACCCCCACTGCCCCTGCCCCCAGCCAGAGCTCAGCGATATCTGAGAAGCGCTGACCCAGCAGCCCAAGGATTCCACAGGCCTTTGTGGAACGTGGGGACTTTCATGTGTCTTCCACCCCCTGTTGCCCAGGCCAGTGCTGCCTACCATGGGGCAGCTGGGCCCGGCACTCCAGGACAGCGACAGAAGTGACCCCTCAACTCCCAAGAAGAGGAAGAGTCGGGGCGGGCACAGTTAGGAGAGACACATCCATGGCCCCAGCCACAGAAATGCTACTGGGGGACCCCGGACCCTGCCCCCACCTCGCTGCCCCACCTCTCCTGGACAGCCTCACACACCATGCCCTGAGCTCTGGATGTCATCCCTGGAGTCTCCCAACACCGGGACATAATTCTTTTTTCCAGAGCCTGGGCTCACAGGCCCAGGAACAGAGGTGGGTAAGAGGGCAGGAGAAAACCAAGAGCTAGAGGTCCCAGTCCCAGCCCACACTGTGCCTTTCTGTGCATCAGTAAGGCCAATCTTCCCAGCAACCCCATCAGATACTATTTGTTTTCATTTTTTATTTTTTATTTTTTTGAGCAGGGCTATATTGAACTCAACGATTCTCCTGTCTCAGCCTCCTGAGTGCTGGGATCACAAGTGTGCTCAATCACACCTGGCTCATGAGGCATCTATTGTTTTTTTTCCTATGTGATAGAGATCCCAGCCTGACCAGAGATTAGTCATGGGTTCAAGGTGACAGCGACAATGGCCAGGGGACTGGGATGGTAATCCGGGTCTGTTTTACCCATCATCATGTTACTTTCCTCAACATACTACCTACTCCTTGACCCCTGGACCAAGCTTGGAGCTTCTCTGAAATGCAGATTCCAGGGCTCTGGCACAGAGCTGCAGAATCAGATTCTCTGGAAGTGGGACCAGGAATCTATATTTTAAGAAATTCCAGATGATTCTTAAACAGTTTTATGTAAATTACCATGGGGAGGGGGAGTAGAAAGTAGAAAATAGTCAAATACCAGCAATTTCGTATGGTTACACCTTCAAGGAACAAGGCCCTCAAACACAGCCTGATGTAAAGGCAAGAGAGGGACTGGACACACCTTGTACATTTCTTGGGTAAAGATGGGGGAGCCACCTGGCCATCCTCACTCACCACCAGGTTGCCGATGACCATGACCATGAGGAAGACGGTGAGGCACATGGGCTGGCCAGCCACCTCCATGCAGTCCCACATGGTCTCGATCCACTCCCCACACAGGATTCGGAAGATGATGAGGAAGGAGTGGAAGAAATCGTGCATGTGCCAGCGAGGCAGGCTGCAGTCTGAGGCGATCTTACACACGCACTCCTTGTAGCTCTTGCCGAACAGCTGCATGCCCACCACTGCGAAGATGAACACGATGATGGCCAGCACCAGCGTCAGGTTGCCCAGTGCCCCCACTGAGTTGCCGATGATCTTGATGAGCATGTTGAGCGTTGGCCATGACTTAGCCAGTTTGAAGACTCGCAGCTGGGGAGAGCAAGGGCAAGTAAGGCCTAGGGACCCCCTGAGCCAAAAATCTCAGGAGAAAGAACAATATGGAATGGCCTAAAGCCCCAACTCTGAGTGATCTGAAGTCTCAATCGGCCTCTGTTAAATGGGGCTACTTATATCCTACCACTCCTGCTGTTGATGTGTTAAAAAGAAAAAGTCCTTATCTGTAAAGGCTACAGACTAAAGCTTTTACAAGTGAGATTGCATGTCAGGATTTGCTTTAACACACTCCTCCCTCATCAATAAAAATGGGGGAGGGCGCAACAAAAATTGTAGAATGGCAATAATCGGAGTTGGCTGGTAGGTACTTGTATCCTTTGTACTTTTTGTTTATGCATGAAAGGTCTTGTAATAAAAATTTTAAAATAATGTATGTAATCCTTATGGGGGTGAGGCAAGACTAACTCTGAAGTCCCAACTGGACACCAATGAGCTGCTGAGCCTTTGTTTTCCGGCCTGTGTATAGCACTAAAGTCCCTGCTCCGCTGCTGCCCATGGTCATCCGATGTCAGTTCTTGGGACTTTCAGCATGCCACCTGATTGGGAGGGAGGGCTCCCTTTCATCTTGTTTACAGGTAAGAAAGATTCAGAGGGGCCAAGTGGTATGCGCAGGCCAGAGAGGCTCATCTCTTGCTCTGTGGCTTCTTGGGGTTTCTCCTCCCACTCCCTGCTTAGCCCCTGCCCCTGTGGATCTCTCGTACCAGACGGAAGGAGCGGAGCACAGACAGTCCCTGCACGTTGGCCAGGCCCAGCTCCACCAGGCTGAGGGTGACAATGATACTGTCGAAGATGTTCCAGCCCTGCTGGAAATACTCATAGGGGTCCAAGGCGATCAGCTTCAGCACCATCTCGGCTGTAAAGATGCCCGTGAAGACCTGCGGGTGGGTGGGGCCCTGTCACAGAGCCTCAGGGAGCACAGGGCCTTGGGAGTCTCCCACCCTCTCCCATCTTTTGGCAGAGGCTTTGCAAACTAGGGGGGAGTGGTACCCATGGCCCATGTGCATGTACACAAGTGACAGATGCAAGGCCCATGTCATAGGCAGAGGTGGGTACCACACAGAGACCATTTCCCATCCATTTCTGGCCTTGTGACTGTAGGCAAATCACTTAACTTCTTGGGTCCTCGACCCAGTCATAATATCCAACATTCACGGTGCACACCCTGGTCTACATTGTGACCTTATTGATATCCCCATCTCTACAAAGTCAGGAGGGATTATCATGCTTGTTTCATAGACGAGCAATGGAGGCTCACAGAGATCAGCAGCCAGTTCTCAGTCACGTTCCCCAGTTCTCCGGGTGCTCAGTCCAAGCCCTTGCCTCTGTACCCCAAGCCTCTCTTCTGGAACCAGACCTAGAACTTAGCAAATCTTGGTGGACTCAGGGCAGGGCAGGGGCCCAAAGGGACAAAATTGATGAGAAGAAGGTCAGAGCTGCCTTGCTGACTCTAGGAGTTGCCTGGCCTCTAAAAGCTCCATGGGTGTGGCCCCCCTCCTGTCAGGCACCAGCTGCCCTGGGGTCACAGCCTGCCTGGGCACATGCTGAGCCCTTCCCAGGAGCTGTCCCTAGCCATAGCAGGTGCCCAGACTGCTGAATAGGGTGGGCAGGGAGTGGGCAGGCGGTGGGCCCTGCCCATCATGCACACTCCAGCAGCTGTGCCCTGAGTCCAGAGCACACCCTTGGCCTTCTGGCCCAGCCTGGCTGTGGCTGCCTCAGGCATCTCCATGACATAGATGTGCCTGCTTCAAGGGCTGGAGAATTTAGAACCTGATTTTTGTGCCACCCATTCAGTCTTGGTCCTGCCCCACCCCCGTCTGACTCTCCCTGAGCTTGCCTTTCCCTTGGGGTTGGGGGAGCATCTTGTCCATTTGCCATCCTGGAAAAATTGCAAAGGGGATTGGGAAGGGTAGGGTGGGGCTGCACGAGACAGCAGCTTTTCCTTTGTCAGGCTCCACTGGGGCTGGCAACGAGGTGATAATGCTTCTAATGGGTAGGGATAAGCAAGTGGATCAGTGCATGTCAACAATAGCGGAGCAGCAAAGGGCTGGAACAGGGAGCGGCCTGGCCAGCCTGGAGAAATGGGGGGTGGTATTCCCTGGGGCCTCCAGAGTGAGCTAGGACATCTTGGGCATGGGTGCCTGTGGGTATATGACCCCACTGTCAGGTCCCTTGGTCCCTTTCAGGCCTGTTACAATCTATGAAAATGGAGAAACCTATCACCCAGCCCCCACCCTGTCTCCATGCCCCTACCTCCAGTGCTGGCTTGAATCTCAGCTCCCCAAAAGACCAGCACCTCAACCCACTCTCTCTGCCCCCAAATACCCTAAAACCAAACTCCACATCTCGCAGATCCTCCCCATGTACCTCCCTTGTACGACTCAAGCCCCTTAAATGCTGGGAAAACAGCTGTCCCCACATGCCCTCTGAAGTGCCCCACATTTGCACACAGCCCACTGGGTCTTGCTGCCCCCTCCCATTCTGCCCCTGAATGACCACTCTCTCCTTTTGCCGCCTCCCTACCAGATTGCCCACGGAGAGCACGTTGTCAAAGTGCTCGGTCATGGGGTAATGCTCCATGGCCATGAAGAGGGTGTTGAGCACGATGCAGATGGTGATGCCCAGGTCCACGAAGGGGTCCATGACAATCAGGTAGATGATATGTTTGAACTTCACCCATGGTGTGCAGCAGTTCCATATGAGCACTTTGTGCGCACACTTGTACCACCACGGTGGGCACTTCTGGTGGGCCTCTTCCAGCTCTAGGAGTGGGGTTGGGATAGGTGCCTGATGAGAATTTCTCTACCTAGCTCTTGGGTCCCTCCTTCCATGCTCCACCTCTCAACATTCCAACCACTAGCAAGGCCTATGTTGTGGTTTAACTATGAAGTGTTCCCCACTCATGTATGGAGGGTTTGATCCCCAGTGCAGCAATATTCGGGGGTCGAGCCTAGAGAAGGGACTGGATCATGAGGGCTCAAACCTCATCCATGAATTAAGCCATTGATGAGTTCATTAGCTGAATGGGTTGTCAGAAGTGGGTCACTGGGGGTGTTGCCTTTGAAGGGTGTATCTGGTCTCTGGTCCCCTGACTTTCTGGCTCTCTGGCTTTCTGCCTCCTGTCTGCCATGAGGTGAGCAACTTTGCTCTGCCATGACTCTGCCTCTCTTCAGCCACACAGCATTGGAACCAGCCAAGATGGACGGAAACCTCTGAAACCGTGAGCCAAAATCTTGCCTCATGGTGGCACATGCCTCTAATCCCAGCTCCAGAGGCTGAGGTAAGAGGATAGTGAGTTCAAGGCCACCTTAGGCTGCATAATGAGTCCAAGGCCTGGGCTACATAGTGAGAACCTATCTCTAAAAACCAATCAACCAAACAAAAAACCCCCAAACAACAACACTTTCCTCCTTTAAGTTGTTTGTTAGGCATTTTATCCCAGTGAAGGAAAGCTAACACAGCTTACTCCAAGTCCAACTGCCTTCATTGTAACCTCCCCTACCACACAGCCCCAACCCCTTAAAATCCTGGTCTTCTGGGCTCTGACTCTCACAAGCCCACCCTCTTGTAAGGCCTTCTCCAAGCCCCTCTCACTATGTCACTCTAAAGGCCTGTCCTACAAACTCCGCCCACACCCCACGCTAATCCTGCCCTGGTAGCCTTGCCCTTCCAAGGCCCTCCTCCTGTGGAAGCCTTCCCCAAGCCCTGCCTCCATGCTCTCCTTCAAGCCCCACCTACTTGGCACACCACACAGAGCCCTGTGTGGCGAGCTCTGGCTCACTGGGACTTCTGCCAGCCTCCAAGGGCTGTGATCCTGGCAAGAGAGAAGCCTCAATCTCTGGCTGGGTTCCAGAGTCCTCAGGGAAAGCAGGGAGCTCACTTTAGGGGGTCAGGCCTCAGGCTCACAAGCTTCTCAGGAGCAGACTGAAACACCCCTGAAGACTGTCCCTCTCCACTGCCGGTATTGCCAGCTCCTTTAGGCTGTCCCCAGCCAGACCTTCCTTTCCTTCCAGAGTGGGTTTCTGAAAACATCCCATTCTTGTCAGCCCAAAGTCGTGGGGCTCTGTAAGGACCATGGATGCAGCTGCTCCTCCACCTGGCCTCTTTGGCCTATGGGAGTGGCCTTGCCTAGGCTTGACCTCATTGACTTATCACCAGAAAGTTATAAGGCAAATACTATTAGTTCCACCCATTTTGTAGACAAAGAAACAGGACTGGAATAGGTGGCGACTCCATGGAAACCATGGGTATGACCCCAACCCTGCCCAGGAAGTAGAAAACTGCACCTATCTCAAAGATTGGCAGTGATTCTAATCTGACCATGACCTCCTCTGTCTCCAGCCCAGCACCATGATATTGAGGTGCCCCAGTGTCTGAGGCATAAAATTTTCTCCTACAGATAGACTCCAGCAAGGCAGGGGTGAGGGGCCAGGATTTCTGGGCGCATTCTCTGGCAGGGCACACAGCCACCGGACTGCATCGTGCAAGGTTGTGTAAGATGGTGCCCTGAAGAGGTTTACAAAGTCCTGAAGGCCCCCGACTCCCAGCTTTCAACTCAAGGTGAACTCGCCTCTCTAGGTCAGAGTTCCTTTCTTCTATCCTCCCTGACTCTTGCTTCCTCTTTTCCCCACTTTTCATTGCTAATTTTCCCTCCCTCCCTCTTTCCTTTCCTCTCTGTCACCCATCAACATACCCATCTATCTCTTTTCATTTAATAATCTTTCAGCCCACCCATCCCTCTACCTATCTGTCACCTATCCACCCTTCCTTTGTTACTCTATCCTTATTCTCTTTCTGGGACTTGGGGGTAACACAGGGCTTGACGGTAGTTTATGATTCTACCTAGGCAATTGGACTTTTGACTTTCAACTTTTGTCCAAAGAACACCAAAGGAGCAGGCTCTCTAGTTTCCAGAACATTCAGCCTTCCTCATTAGTATTATTAGCCTGTCCTTCCCCGTTGCCTTGGCAGCCCTCAAGGCCCTCCCGGAAGCCCCCAGTTCCTGCAGCCACCTGGCCTTGGATCCAGAACCGGGCCAGGTTAAGACAGGACTATATTTATCACAGCTCATTTCTTCGATGCCAATATTAAGTTACTGCCCTCCTGAAGCTGGGTCCAGCCAGGCGCCACCCTGCCTCTAAGGTGGCTGTGTGGCCTGGTGGGTAGGACAGGCAGAGTAGAAGGATGTGGGGTAAGGATATGGGGTATAGGGCACTCACCCTCCATAGCATCTGAGATGGCACTGTCTGCACTGCAGCTCAGCCTTGGGGGCCCCTTCTCCCCAGATGTGTCCAGGCTGCCATTGCAGTCTTTACGGTGGGCTGGGTCTCCATCTGCCTCCCCACCTTCCAGAGCCTGGGCAGCCTTGGCCTGTAGGGTAACAAATGTGAGGTCCAGCTCCGAGTCAGGGAGACTCATGGACTGTCAGAGCCTCTTGCAGAGTCCTTTAGGATGACAGCCCCCTTCCAGCTTGTGCAGGTAGGGAAGGGGCTCAGTGGGATCAGGTGACAGGGTAGGGACCAAGTGACTGAGAACCTTCAGCTCTGAAGATCCTCAGTTCTCTGAGGCCCTGATTGGCTACACTTCATGAGATTGAGAAAATGGGCAACTGTTCCCTGCAGCTGCATGGGGACCTGTGTCTCCCTTAGCAAGGACCTGGAAAGAAGCACAAAGCCATAGGTCTTTAAGCTGCAGGACACTTCCAGTTTTACTATTCCAGATTCCTCCTTATTGAGGGGTAAACTGAGGCACAAAATAGAGAAACACTGTACTGCCTGGATGGCACCCAGTCCACCAAAGCCCCCAGCCTGGGGCCTTCTGCTTCCCCAGTTTTCCCAGGAGAAGCCAGTGGCCAGGCAGCTCAGGCCCAGGGCAGGGGGATCTCTGGGTCCCCCCGCCCCCGCCCCAGGTCCATACCTTCTCCAGCTCCTCCTGTTGTTTTTTGAATTTCTCAAGCATCTGCTGAAACTCCTCCTCTTTCTCCTGATCTTCAGCCAAGGTGGCCTCATTCTGCTCAGCATACGCCATGGCCACTACTGCCAGGATCAGATTGATGAGATAGAAGGAGCCCAGAAAGATGATGACCACGAAGAAGATCATGTAGGTCTTGCCGGCTGCTCGAAGAGTCTGGAGGTGGGGAAAGAAGGAGGGAAGGGGGTCCCATGGCACCTGTTGACCCCTCCACACATTCACCCAGTCAAGTAGTGAAGAGGATCCCTCATAGAGGCTCTGGCTCTGAGTGCCTTTGAAGCAGGTCAAGCCATATTCTGGGGAATGTTTAAATACATACACTGGACTTAGGCTTTCCTGGTGTCCTAGGTATTCCTGGCTCAGAGAGCCCAAGGACCCCAGCTAGGCCTCTTGAGATCTAGCATGGAAATGGTGGACACCAGCTTTGGGAGCAGCTTGAATCCTGGCTTTGTCTCAGAGCCTGCCTGGTATCCAATGAGCACTCAACAAACAGTAGCTATTACTACATTGCTGTTATTGTTAACATCATGATGTTAGAAACATGCCAAGGGATCAGAAGGCACCATCATTCAAGCTCAACCTGCCTGCCCTGTAAATACAGGCATCCCATGGAATCTATCTGGATGGATTCCAGCTGCCCTTTGGGTACCAAAATCTGCACATGCTCAAGTCCCTTATATCAAATGGCGCAGTATTTGCATCTAAACTAGGTACATCCTCCCTATAACTTGAATCATTTCTAGATTACTTATATTATGTAATGTGATATAAGTGCTATGTAAATAGCTGTTATACAGTATTATTTAGGGAATAATGACCCAAAAAAGTCTGCACATGTTCAGTACAGGCAAGTTTTTCTTCTCAAATATTTTTGATCCATGGCTGTTTGAATCTATTGAGATAGAACCCACGGATACAGAGGGAAGGTTAGCTGTAATTGTGTTTGGGTGGAGTTGAGGCTTTTGTATTCTTTTCTGGAGTTGAGTTTCCTTCCAAGCTTTCCTGCTGGTTTCTGTGAGGCCTGGGGGTTCCTGGGTCCAGCCCGTGCCTGTCTCAGACTCCAGCTCATAAGCAAAGATGGGGAAAGGAGAAGGCAGTGGCTTGGCTTGGGCAGGTGGCGGTGTCAGAGGTCTCCAAAAGATGTTAGGAGTATTAATGGGATTCCCTGGAGGAGATGGCCCAGTTGGGGGCCTGGCCATCCTGACGTCAGCTCCATGAGGCCCTGAGGAGGCAGTGGGGACAAAGTGGGGTGACTGTGGGGTGGAGGGCAGGATGGGGCAGCTGTACCAGCTGGAAGAGGTTCTCCCAGTAATCCTGTGTCATGAGGCGGAAGAGAGCCAGGAAGGCCCAGCTGAAGGTGTCGTAGCTGGTGTAGCCATAGTTGGGGTTGCGCCCGGCCTTCATGCACTCATAACCCTCGGGACAGTGCCTGGGGATAGGACGGGGGACTGACTTTAGCGATGGAGGACTTCAGCTGGGGAACAGATGGGGGACCTCAAGGGAACAATAGTCCTCAATCCTGTGTCCCACAAACAGGAAAGTCTTCCATCCATGTCCACGAGTTTCCTTACACTCTCAGGCCCTTGTCCCTAATCAGCTCCCATCCCCCAGGACCCCTGGGGCTCCTTTCCCCCCCCAACCCCAGGATCACTCACCCAGCATCACTGCTGTTCCCACAGAGCAGAGCATCATTGGCACCCTCCAGGAAATAGTAGTTCCCTTTGGGAGTCAGAGGTCACAAATAAGGCACATCACCCTTGTGGACACACAGCACCTGTGCCCACTGTACACCTGTGGACAGGTCTGTGTGCCCTCCACACACCAGATGGATGTTCCCAGGAGTCGTTCCCACTCCTTTATGGACAAGTCCAAGTTCCAAGGTCTCTGAGTAGATAAAACCCAGGGAGCTCTCAGTTCCTAGCAGTGTCAGCTTGGTGCCTACTACGGTTATGAGGTCAGGATTCAGCAGGGGTCCCGGGAGAGCCAGAAGGAACGTGTATGTATATGTATGGGGCCACCATGTACTTACACAGGACCCTGACTAGAATCAGGGGCTAGAATCCAGGGGCTAGGTGACGAAGGGTAACTTTTTCAAGTTGCAAGAAGACCCTGTGTAAACTCATAGTGGCAAAGAGAGAGAGAGAGAAGGGGGGGGGGAGGGAGAGAGAGAGAAAGCGAACTGTGCTCATGAAGCATGTGTACACACAACAGGATGTGTGGGTGCCCAGTGCTGGCCTCGCCAGGATGTGAGCATAGAGTGTGATGAAGGAGAACAAGGTGCATGGGTTAGGTAATAGGGACTATAGACTGTCACTTTGTATAGTGATAGTCTTAGGATTTTGAAAGTAATTTGTCATTTGTTATCAGAGTAACCTCTTTCACTTTTGAGACAGGGGTCTGATTAAATTGCGCAGGCTGGCCTTGAACTTACCATCCTCCCACCTCAGTCTCCTGAGTATCTGGGATTACAGGCTTGTTCCACTGAGCCCTGCCACACTAACCCTCTGAGGAAGGCCCTGTCATCTCAGTTTTATAGGGGAGCATCCTGAGGACCAGGGAGATAGAGTGACTAGCCAGAGGTTACGTGTGAGCTTCTAAGTGATGGATTTAAACTCATGTCCCTACCAGACTCTTATGTCTCATTAGAAGTGGAGGCAGGGGTTGCCCTAGAGCTGGGACAGGCCTATCCCTGCCTGCCCACCTCTGTTTTTACCTTCATCATTGATATAGGCATCCCAATCAAAGGTATAGTTGTTGGCCCAGCTCATGTGGCTCCACGTGTCGTTGCCATACCACGTGTCGTTGCCATACCACGTGTCGTTGCCAGACCATGTGGCCTTGGTATCATTGAAGGGAGGGGGCCAGCGGATGCACTTCTGCCTAAGGTTTCCCATGAAGAGCTGCAGCCCCACCAGGGCAAAGACGCTCAGACAGAAGACAGTGAGGATCATCACATCCGATAGCTTTTTCACCGACTGGATCAGGGCCCCCACAATTGTCTTCAGCCCTGTGCACAGACGGTGAGAGCATGGGCAGGGGTGGGCAGGGTGATACTGATCCCCACCTGCCCTTGCCCCAGCTTTTGCCTACTTCATCCCCAAGGCTTGACTGACTAAACAACACTACTTCCCTAAAGTTTTCCCAAAGTAACCCCACCCTTCTCTGAGCACTTCTTCAGTGGGCAGCTCTGGAATTGCCTTGGAATCTCAGCCACTAAGAAAACAAACCTTAATCTCAGTGAGCTACTACCTGACCTACAGAACAATGAAGAAGCATACAGAGAGGTTTACTAAATGACTCTAGATTAGCGCTCCCAATGTATGTTCTATAGAGCTCTAAATGCTCAAGTGGGACACTTAAATAAGGGGTTTGATGTTTGGGAAAGGCTGTGCCCTATAGCTTGTTCTTAGGAAGCCATTAGATACTTCTATCAAAGTCCTGCAGAGGCAAACAAAAACCTTAATGTCATATTTCCTTAACTTCTTTGCAACAGAACCTTTTTTCTTATAATGTCTATTAATTCCCAAGGACTAGCAGGATTCATTTTGTGAAGCTGTAGAGTGACTCTGAAACATCATTGCATTCTGTCTCTTTGGACAGATAAAAACATAAACCATTCTGGTGGAATTCCAGGGGGAAATTTCATCTATGGAAGAATCATAACTTCTTTCTTGGGTTTGATCATAGTGTCTTTGCCTTTATCTCTTTTTCTTATCCTGATAGGGAAATCAAATACTCAGCAGCCTCCTTTGAGAACCCTCCTGAGCCCAGAGGCTGCTGGAGCCTGGCACAGAGGAAGGGGCCATGACTTTGGCTCAGTGGCCAGTGCGTAGTGAGGTAGGTCCTGAGTGAGCACTTCCGGTCTCATGTCATACTTCTCTCTGCCCCACGAGAGGGCTCTGGACTAGAGAGAGCTACAGTGCTTTTCAGCATGCCTGTTGTCCATTCCTTTCAGATCATCTTTCCTCCTTGCACTGTATCTTGTTTTTCTGTAGGCTTTTTAAAAAAAAAAAAAAATAGTTCTGGGATCGAACCCAGGGCCTCCCTCGTGCTAGGCAAGTGCCCCACCTCTGACCTATATCCCCAACCCTCTGCACACTCTTCTGAGGGGCTGGATGAATCAGGTCCTTGTATGTGCTTCTTGATGCATTCATTACTTTGGAACCATCCCACACTCACCTCTGGGACACATTACAGCCCATGGGGCAGGCACTGTTCTGAGCACCTCATCTGATCCTCATAACAACCCAGTGAGTGGCACTGTTCTTTTTTTTCTTTTGGTACCGGGGATCGAACTTGGTTCCTTGCGCTTGCGCAGCAGGCAGCAAAACCACTGAGCTAAATCCCCGGCCCCAGCACTGTTCTTAAAGATAAGGAAACTGAGGCACAAACACGTGAAGCCACATACCTAAGGTCAATGTTAGGGAGGAATAGAGAGAATTGAACCCAGGCTGTCTGGCTTCAGATTCTGTGCTCTTACCCGCCTTGCTATCCTGCCTCTCAAATGCCTAGCCTCCCGAGGAGGTCCCTTCTGCTCTCTGGCCATGTGGGGCCTTCTGTGTCCAGGCTGTGGTATTTGTCCTACAAAAAAACAAGCCTGGGAGTGCTGTAAACCTGCTTCAGGTTCTCAGAAGACTTTAGGCCTGGACATGGTGGCACGCCTATCTTCCCTCCTCCCCAGTACCTGGGATGACCGTGATGGTTTTTAGGGCTCGAAGCACCCGGAAGGTCCTCAGGGCTGAGATGTTTCCCAAGTCCACAAACTCTGTCACATACCTGGGGTGGGGTGGGGTTGAGACGGAGGCCGTGTCAGAGCTGGGGTGGGTGTGTGGTGGGGTAGAAATCAGGGCTTCTCCTGACCCAGGACAGGGATTCCCGAAGCCTTGTAGTTGGGGTTTCCACAGGGGGTTGGGAGCAGGTCAGACACCCCCAAGCATCCTACTGGGGCCCAAGAATTGGAAAGGACAGTGCAAGGGTACTGCTGGTGGGGAGTGTGAGTGGCATGGGTAGCCCTGCTCGCCCAGTAGCAAGGGCCTATGGGGCTGTGGATATGAGGGCATGTGTGCTCTATGGAAGGGACATCAGCAGAGCCTCCCAGCCAGACCCTGGGAATGTCCACTCTGAGAATTGTGCAGCTCACACTATCTGCACAATTAACTGATAGCCCTGGCTGCCCACCCCTTTGATAGGACCGACAGCTCTTTGAAGCCTGGCCTCCTCCTCTTGCCCACGCCAGCCTGAAGATGCCCTTGGGCCCTTGCTCACGCCATCAGGATGACACTGAAGTCCAGCCAGTTCCAGGGGTCTCGGAGGAATGTGAAGTTGTCGATGCAGAAGCCTCGGGCCAGCATCTTGATGAGGGACTCAAAGGTATAGATCCCTGTGAAGGTGTACCTGGTGGGGAGAGGGGAAGCAAGGACCAGGCATGTCACCTGAGCAGGGGCACATGTGGCAGACCTTGTAGGAGGGAGGGCTACAGAGATGATGGATGCACCCAGGGGCTGAGGACATATGAGAGTGATAGTGTGCGGCTCCTTGCCAAGGGCTTAAGTGTTGATGAGGGCTGTAGTGACAGTGTGTGTTGCCCTGGAAGTCAAGAGCACTCACTGTCACTAGGCATCCTCAGAGGTACAGACAACCAGGATGGACTGTGTCCCAGGGCTTGGGGCTGGGCGGGGGGAGACTTACTCCACATTCTTGGACCAGGGAGGTGGGTCGCTCATGGTCATGAACACACAGTTGGTCAAGATGGTGATCATGATGAACATGCTGAACAGCGTGGGGGTGGGTCAAGGAAAGTGCAGGAGCAGGTGCGAAGGGGAGTGGACAGGACCTCCTGGCTCAGAGCACCCCATTTTGCCCATCCCTAACCTCCCGGCTCTCCCTCTTGTGCAGGATATGAGTGGATGAGCACCTTGATGGCACTCCGCCTGATGATGCTGAATGGGCTCAGCATGTAGAGGGCAGGCGTGGCAGAGAAGCGGAAGATGGACTTGCCCTTGTTGAGCACGATGAAGGTCTGAGACAGGGAGAGAGCCCATGAGGCTGAGGGACACATAGATGGACAGTGGACAGACAGACAGAGGGAGCCCTCATAGGCCCAGACCTTCTTGTCATTGTAGTAGGGGTCTATGTCCTCCAGAGGAATGCCGATGACTTCTGGTGGGGGGTCCCCAAAGATAAGGGGCAGGTTCTTGCCGGCCTCCAGGTCACTTCGAGGCTTCTGTTCGGGATCCTCAATCTCCATCTGTTTATTCCGCAGCAGCCGGGCCTCCTCCTCCACTGCCCGCTGTTCTATGGCTGCCAGGGACTCCCGGGTGAAGGGGCGTAGGCAATGGGGGCCCAAGGGTAGGGTGGGCAGAGATGAGCGGGCCATCCTTGCATTCTGGGCCCAAGGGGCCAGGTGAGTGGCAGGTGGTCAGCAACACAGGGCGCTGGGTGGCCACCCCGCCCTGGGCCTGTGGCCCAGTCCTCACCTCCTGCCTGCCCAGAGGCTGGGCCAGGGAGGTAGGTGTGGGGGCCCTGTTGGGACTGGGAGATATGCCTGCAAGATCCGGCTGCTGCTACTGCTGCACAGGTGCTGGGCACAGAGCATCCCCCTCCCCGGGTCTGCACTGCACTCTCCCCAGCAGTGGGGTGGGCTGCCCTCAAGACTGACAGCAAACCAAGCAGATCCTCTGCAGCCTTGGGGACTTGGGGACAATGCCCCAGAGCCCTCAACACCTCCTGGGCCCAAGCTCCGGGAACTGCATGGCTTCAGCCTATAGGGACAGAGAGAGAACAACAGCTGACTGTGTCCATGTGATCTCTACATGGGCCAGGGCAATGGGCTTCATAGGGTCAGCCTAATGCAGCATTGGCAAATGGATTTTATCTTGGAGGCCACGTGGATTGGGTGATACCAGCTACCTGGAGATGTGGGTGGAGAACACTGAAGTCTCAGCCAGACTCAAGCAAGAGGATGGCTGTGATTGATTAGTAATGTCTACCAGGGGCAGATCAGAAGAAGGTGGTATCACTGCCTGTATTTGCCATCCTTGGCCTGGATGGAGGGAAAAAGAGAATGTGGGAGTGTGGAGTTCCCTTCTTGATCTTCGAGGTGCTTTTAGTTGGGCTGTAAGAGGGGAGAAGGAAGGGTCTCAGGGTTTGCACAGGGTTTTAACAGCTCCTCTTGTGGCCCTGTGGGAGCCAACCCCCTTGGGAAAATGGGTGGGCTGGAGGGTGTAGCAAGAAGACATAGGGTATGTGCAAGGGGCCGTGTTAGGAGAGTTGCAGATCCTAGCACAGAGAAGGAAGATGCGCAGCACAGGGCATAGGAACAAGGAAATAGGTAATTCCCATGGGGACAGGTGAGAGCTTCCAGGGCCTGTTAGGCTGGTTATCCCCATAAGAACTGGAAGGGGGAAAGGGTCACTCACCAGGAGACTTTGGGGCCTGTGAGTATTGTGTGGAATGTCTCCTGGGACAGTCCCTGATCCCTCCCCTGGCCCCTGGCCCATTCTGCCCAGCCTCCCAAGCCTGTTCTCCATGGAAAGGCAGTGCTGGGTCACTCATTGAAAATGGCTCTGGGAGAATGGCCACATTAGCAGATAGGCACAGGGGGACCACTGCAGTCCAGTCACAGCCATCACAAGCCCACATGCATGAACCCTAGATCCACCTCCCCTAACAAAGGGACCTGGACAGACCCCAGTCGATCCCCAGAGCTGCACTGACAGCAGCCCTGTCACAGCAGGCTGGTCCAGGCTCCAAACCTTGCCCCTCCCCTGGCCAGCAGGCATATCCTCAGGCTTGACCAACTCGTGGGGAAGATGCCATTGGGCAAAGCTGTCCCCGCCTGTGCCTGGCTCCCCAGCTGCTCCCTGTCAGCCTCCAGGGAGTCGTGTTTCCAGGGAATGACTCTGCTCATTCCTTCCCACCCCTTCCCTCAGTTCCTCAGCTGCTCACTGACGCCATTGTGTGTGGGGTTGTGAGCACACATGCAAGTGTGCATGCGCACCTGTGCGTGCATGTGCACATACACATATTGTGCACACCCAGTCCCTCACACAGGCCCTCACAGCCCTGTCACACACCTGGCCACCTTTCTCCACATCAGCCACCCCTTGCATGCTCTCATCTGTGCGTCACCATGTGAGGATGCTGGCCTGCCAGATGGCCTTGGAGGGATCTATTCAGTTCACAGTCCCCACCTGGCAGCTGTCTCTTGATCCAGATCCTGCTCTCCTTCATAGGAACCCAGAGAAATCAAAATCCAGAGCCAAAGCCTATCTTTAACATAGCCCTTGAAGAAACCCTTCTCGCCTGAGTCACAAGAGCCCCAGAAACAATCCTAGAGTTTATTCTCAGCTGAGCCTCTGAGCATCCCTCACTACTCCTGCCTTTTTTCTTGAGAGTAGATGTAGCCCAGCCCTCTGGCCACTTGTGGTCTCTGCTCTGGGACTTCCTCTCCCCCACCACTGGAAGGTGATTTCTTTTTTTTTTCCCCCCTCTGTACTGAGGATGGAACTCAGGACCTTGTGCTTTCGAGGCGGGCCTGGCACCACTGAGCTAAATCCCTCGCCCTGGAAGTTGCTTTCTGAACACTTTTGTTTTCTTTTTTCTTTCTTGGTACCAGGGATCAAACTCAGGTCCTTGAGCTTGCGAGGCAGGCGGCAGAACCACTGAGCTAAATCCTCAGCCCTGGAAGTTGCTTTCTGATACAGCATACATCTCTCCCTTCAAAATCTGTGCTTCATCCTAACATCCTCTCCTCCTGCCCTTTCACCCTTCTTGGAGCCACTTTATGTCTGAATGTTTTATTATGTGAAGGGAAAAATATCTCACTGGCTGGGCCAGTCAAAGCGCACTTTGGGTTGGTGGCTGGCAAAAGCATCATGGCATTAGATCTGGCCAGTTTCCATGTCCCCCCAGCATCACTGTCCTCTCACTTCTCCAGGGCTATAGCTGCTCACATTCACCTCTCCCCTGCTCTACACAAGAAGGAAGCCCTCCCTGGGGACCTGGCTGGGTGGATTCCTCCCTTTGTTTGGGTCACTAGTGTGCCTAATGCTCAGTAAGTTTATCAAATGAACAAATGAATGAGTGAATTAGAGGGAATGAATGAATTAGCCTCAGCCCTCTTCTCCTTTAAGAGCACTCTGAACTTAAATCACAACCAGAAACCATTATCTTCTCTGATATCACAGATCAAGTTCTCCCCTCTCCTGCCTGTCTTCTTGGCACTCAGCTCAAGGGCCTAGGACCGTGATCTTCAGGCTTTCTCATGTCTTCAGTTCTTTCTGCCCTGCACTCTCCACATATCAGACCCCTTCTGGCTTCACTTCCCACCTCATCCAGCCTTAGTTTCATGATCCAGAGTCTAGCAGGATCCAAGATCTAATTCCTTACTCACAAATACCCTTTTCTAAGTCATCTCTGACCAGCTGGATGTTGCCAGACAAAGGCACTACTGGGCTGGGTTCACATTAAATTTGCAGTTACAAACTCTGGCTTTGCCCTCAATCCTTCCAGCCCTGTGAGTACAGAATTTTCTGGTAGCCTCATTTTTCCACTTTTTTGAGAACAAACATTTCATGTCTTCCCACCTGATGACCTTGCTTCCTCCTTCACTGAGAAAGTAGGAACCATGGTAAAGTCTACAGAACCATTTGTATCCCCTTTTCCTCCATTCTATCAGAATAGAAAGATAATCATAATCAAAGTCTGAGTCTCCCACTTGGACTCAGGACCTTGAACCCTCTTGCTTCCCCAGGATTTCATTCTCTCGTTATTTTTCCTCTCTACCGGGCCAGAGATTTAGCTCACTAGCGCTGTCCCTACTACTCAATGACTTCTTCACATTTATGAGCAAAACTTGGTGTCTCCTATCTTTAAAATAATGGCAGCTACAGCAAAACAATTTTCCCATTCTCACATCTCTCTTCACCTATTGCCCTATTTTTCTGCCCTTGTTCATAGAAAAACTTCTTGGAAAGTGTCTACACCAGCTGTTTCTACTTCTTTACCTTTCATTCATTCCTCAACCCATTCCAACCTGGCTTCCATTTATCCTAGTCAATTGAACCAGCTTTGTTAAGTCACTAACACCTTCCCTGCTGCCAAGTCCAGCACATACGTTTCTGTCTTCACTTCCTTCAATCTCTCAGAAGCATTCAATCCAGTTGGCCACAGCCCCCTTCTGGAACATTCTATCCTCTCAGCCTCCTTGGAATCACATTCATGGTTTCTCTTCTACCTGCCTGCTTGTTCCTTATCAATTTCCTTTACTTGTCCTTTTCTCTACCAAATCCTTAAAATTTCTCAGGGCTTGCTTTCCACAGGGTGACATCGTGCCTGTGACTGTAAATAAAGTCATGGGAACAAGGTAAATGTCTCCTTTGAACTCCACACTGATATATTCCACTGTCTCCTGGAAGGTTATATGGGGATAACTAAGAAGCACCCCACCTGGAACGAAACGTTTGTGTCCTTCCACATTCCATCTTCTCTCTCAAGCCAGAAAATGGCACCACCCCCATCTAGCTGCTCAAGTCAAAAACAGTGTGAAGAGACAACCCACAATGTGGGAAAAATTTTTTACCAGCTGTTCCTCAGACAAAGGACTACTATCTAGAATACATAGAGAACTGAAAAACATCAGACCTCCCAAATTTAAAGACCCAATCCAAAAATGGGCATCTGAAATGAACAGACATTTCTCAGACAGAAGTAAAAGCAGCAAATAAACATGAAAAGATGTTCAACATCACTGGCCATTCGAGATATGCAAATGAAAACAACGCTGAGATTCCACCTCACCCCAGAAAGAATGGCTGCTATCATGAAATCAACCAATAACAAATGCTGGCAGGGATGTGGGGAAAAAGGAACCCTACTCCACTGCTGGTGGGAGTGTAGACTGGTGCAATCACTGTGGAAGTCAGTATGGAGATACCTCAAAGAACTAGGGCTAGAGGTCCCATTTGACCCAGTTATTTCCCTACTGGGTATCGTCCCCAAAGAATTAAAAGAATCATACCACAGCTGTATATGTGCACCCATGTTCACAGCAGCACAGTTTGTAATAGCTAAAACTTGGAATCAGCCCAATTGTCCATCAACTGGAGACTGGATAAAGAAAATGTGGGGTATTTTTTATAAAATGGAGCACTACTCAGCCATAAAGAATGAGAAATTAGAGACATTTATAGCTAAATGGATGCACATTGAGGCGATACTCTTAAGTGAAATAAATAGGACAGACATGTAAATACTGAATAGTTTCTCTGGCATGAGAAACTGAAAGTGTAAATAAGGATCAAGATGCATAATAGATATTGAAATAGGAAGAAAAAGCCCAAAGGGGAAGGGAAGTGGGAGGGATTGGCGAAAGGA